GTGTACCATATCGTCACAAGGGTACAATATGAGTACCAAATCGTCACAATGGTACAATATGTAGACCATATCGTCACAATGGTACAATATGTGTACCATATCGTCACAAGGGGAACAATATATAGACCATATCGTCACAAGGGTACAATATGTGTACCATATCGTCACAATGGTACAATATGTGTACCATATCGTCACCAGGGTACAGTATGTGGACCATATCGTCACAAGGGTACAATATGTGTACCATATCGTCACCAGGGTACAATATGTGTACCATATCGTCACCAGGGTACAATATGTGGACCATATCGTCACAAGGGTACAATATGTGTACCATATCGTCACAAGGGTACAATATGTGGACCATATCGTCACAATGGTACAATATGTAGACCTTACCTATAGGATTCAAAATATAGGGACCACAAATCTTGAACTCAATCCAGCCTTTATTGCTTATTTATGAGCAGAACTTCACAACTGATTAGGTGCAAGCTTAAACAAAAATGTATATGCCCTTGAACCCTACATAAAGTTGAAACATGCAACACATGCAACACATGCGACTGGCCGTAGCCATGATTGTTTTTGACGAGATAACCGGGACTAACCCCAAAAAAACCTGGACAAAATGCTAAATGAAGCACTTATAAAATGACTTCATAGGCCATGAAACTAAAAAATAATACTTGAAATCTAACATTCCGGCCCCTTAAATGTAGGACATTTAACGAACACTAAATTATGCTAAGTCTTGAACACTTGAAATATGTTACTTCACACCCGTCACATTTAGTGTCTATAGAGTTATAGTTCTTGATATTCACAGTCCTTTAACAGTCCATTCACAGTCTGTCTTCACAGGCAGATTCCAACAAGCACAGTTTGTAGATTGGCCTGGTCAACACGGAATCCTTGGTCTTGACCTCCACAGTTCTCACTAAGCCGTCCCTCCTGGGTACACCTGAGTGACTCTCGCCAGAGGCCACACATATCTAGGGACATTTTCATTCATGATCAGAACGATGTCTCCGACTTTCAAGTTCACTGTTGATTGGAACCACTTTTGGCGGAGTTGCAGAGTAGGCAGATATTCTTTAAGCCATCTAGACCAGAACTGGTCTGAAAGTGACTGGATGTATCTCCAGCGCTTACAGTATCTGTCCTTCAGTAAAAATCTGCCTGGTGGTGCAGACTTTGCTGATCACAGGAGTAAGATATGGTTAGGAGTCAGAGGTTCACTGTCTTTGTGATTGTCAGGATTTACAGTAATAGGTCTACTATTTACTATTGACTCTACTTCGCACAGCAAGGTTGATAGTCCTTCATCCTGTAGACTGTGTTGCTGATATAACAGAGCATTCAGTACTTTCCGAACAGTCCGGATCTGCCTCTCCCAGACGCCACCCATGTGAGATGCTGCTGGGGGTTGAACATCCAGGTAATTTCCATCTGAAGCATATGCTCCTGGAGCACTTGTTGGTTTCAGTCTCTAATGGCTTCTTTTAACTCCTTTTCGGCTCCCCGAATGTTAGATCCGTTGTCAGAACGGATTAGCTCTGGAGCCCCTCTACGGGCCTGGAAACGCTTGAAAGCATTAATGAAAGAATCCGTATTCATGCTATCAAGCTTTTCCAAGTGGATAGCTCTGGTGTTCAAACAAGTGAATAAACACCCGTATCGCTTCACTTCACTGCGTCCTCGCTTTATCAAGAACGGGCCGAAGCAATCTATCCCTACATGAGAAAAAGGAGGTTTGCCCGGTGTAACTCTGTCTTTAGGAAGATCAGACATTTTCTGAATTGACTGCTTTCCTTGCAGTCTCCTACATTGGACACAGTCTCTTAAAGTTTTCTTGATTGTGCTTCTGGCATTTATTATCCAATACTTTGTCCTCACTTGGGCCAGAACATGTTCTGTACCCGAATGTCCTAATTGTTTATGGCAGTTTCGGATAATGATTGTGACAATTGGATGTCCCTTTGGTAGAATCATAGGATGTTGGGACTTGTCAGGGATAGGTGCGTTTTGTAACCTTCCACCGACACACAGGATACCGCCCTGATCAAGAAATGGCTCAAGTGGATGGATAGGACTTGATTTTTTCACAGGACGAGCATTCATGAGAAACTCTACTTCCACTGGAAATGCTGATCTTTGCCCATACTTGATGATTGCCATTTCAGCATGCTTCATTTCAGAGACGCTCAGAGGTTCCAGTGAAGTCTTTGTCTTCTGTTTCCCATTGACTCTGTCCATGAGACATTTCGTGAGTCTCAAAATCCAGGCTACAGCCTTTTTCAGCCGATACCACGAAGAATAATTCTTCAGGAGTTGATCTGTACATAAGTCAACATTCTTTGACTTAGCGAAGTTCACCTTAGCTTTCTTGATTTCCAGCTGATCTGTGGATACACTCAATACTGGAGGTTGTTCTGGCCAGGTCTCTTTATTCTGCCATAGGAAGCTTGGTCCTTGAAGCCAACTTTTATGGTTCATCATAGCAACGGCATCTAGCCCACGGGAGGCTGCGTCAGCGGGATTTTGAGATGATTCAATATGTCTCCAACATTCTGGTGATGAACCTTCTCGAATGGTAGTGACCCGATTGGCTACAAACACTTGATACCTTTGGGACTCATTCTTGATGTAATGTAGGACTATCATACTGTCAGTCCAAAATACTGTCCTTTCTATCTTGATGCGCAATTCTCTGCGCAAAGCCTCATCTAATCTTATTGCGAGAACAGCCGCACACAGTTCAAGACGGGGAATCGTAACACTTTTGATTGGAGCCAATCTAGACTTCGACATCAGGAATGAACACCATATTTGTTCTTCGGCATTCCTCATTCGCTGGTATGCCACAGCTGCATATCCTACACTCGAAGCATCTGCAAAGATATGCAATTCAACAGAGAGTGCTTTGTCGAAACCTTCTGGGGTCACACATCTTGGTATTGAAAATCCCTCGATGAGATTCAATTCTGATAACCATTTTATCCATCTTTCATTGTGCTCTAGCTCTATTACAGCATCCCATCCCTTGCGGAGTCTACATTCATCTTGGAAGATCTGCTTTGCACTCAAGATCAATGGGGTGAGGAATCCCAGAGGATCGTATATCGAAGAGATGACACTTATCAGTCCTCTCTTGGTGAGTGGCTTGGACTTTGGAATGAACTTGAAGTAAAGCTCATCTGTTTCTGTGTCCCACTTAATTCCAAGAGCCTTATCTTGTGGGAGATCACTCGTACACAGATCCAGATCTTTCAAGTTCTTGGCTCGCTCTTCCATACCGACATTGCTCAACACTGTTCTGCTATTGCTCAACCATTTGGTGAGTCGGAAGGATCCCCTTTGCAGGAGCTCACACAGATCCTTGATCAATTTGATTCCTTCCTGTTCAGATTGGACTGACTTTAGACAATCGTCAACGTAGAAATTGTCCTTCACAGTCTGTATGACGTCACTGTCAAAATCGTCAACATTGTCCAAGGCTACCTTCTGCAGTGCGTAGTTAGCGCAGCTTGAACTCCATATTCCTCCAAACAGGTGTGAAGTCATTCTGTAGATCTCCACTTCACCTCCTAATACTTGGTTTTTCCACCACAGAAACCTCAACGAGTCCCGATGATGATCAGCCACCTTCACTCTGTGATACATTGATTCAATGTCACCTGCCAGAGCTATTTTGTGCTGCCTGAATCTCAGAAGCACACCGAGTAAGGAGTTAGTCAGGTCTGGCCCTTGATACACTGCTTTGTTCAAGCTTGCGTCACAGTAGGAAGCTGAACAGTTGAACACTATCCTGAACTTACCAGGCTTCTTGTCACTGAGGACGACATGATGTGGGATATACCATGTGTACCCATTGTCAACGTTAATTTCTTCGTGTGGAACTCTTTCCGAATAGCCCTTCTACAGCATATCATCAATACCTGCCTTGTAGCCTTGAGACAGTCCTTCGTCTCGCATTAACTTCCTGGTTAATGATTGTAGCCTTGATTCTGCTGCACTGTAGTTGTTCGGCAGTCTTGGTGGGTTTGACTTGAATGGAATTGGCAGTTTATAATGTTTGTCCTCCCTCTCAACTGTAGAGTCCCACAGCTTGATGACTTGTTTGTCTTGAAATGACAGCGCAATGTCATTTGTCATAACTTCACTTAGTTGCCAAAATCTCTCCACTTGTGTTTCAAGATTCTCTTGTACGAAGTTGACAGTGACATGCTTTTGTGAGCCTCTTCGTAGGGGTCCATTTATAGCCCATCTTAGTTTGGTCCTGGTAGTATATGGTTGGTTAGCTTTACCAGTTCTGACCTCTAAGGGTATTAGTACAGTATGATTGTCTTGTCCGATTAGTATCGTCACAAGTGTACAATATGTGGACCATATCGTCACCAGGGTACAATATGTGTACCATATCGTCACAATGGTACAATATGTGTACCATGTCGTCACAATGGTACAATATGTGTATCATGTCGTCACCAGGGTACAATATGTGGACCATACCGTCACAATGGTACAATATGTGTACCATATCGTCACAATGGTACAATATGTGTACCATGTCGTCACCAGGGTACAATATGTGTACCATATCGTCACAATGGTACAATATGTGTACCATATCGTCACAATGGTACAATATGTGTACCATGTCGTCACCAGGGTACAATATGTGTACCATATGGTCACAATAGTACAATATGTGGACCATATGGTCACAACGGTACAATATGTGTACCATATGGTCACAATGGTACAATATGTGTACCATATGGTCACAATGGTACAATATGTGTACCATATCGTCACAATGGTACAATATGTGTACCATATGGTCACAATGGTACAATATGTGTACCATATCGTCACAATGGTAGCTGTTATCCTGTGTAGAATTACACTTGAATGTTGCTAACTCGCCGTAAATATACCCTAACCTGACTTGCCAGTTGATACATCGTGTGATATAATGACGGTCTGTTCAGGTCTCCGGGATGCCCCTGACAGAGGAGACGTCATCGCAGACAACCACCAGACTCTGGAGTCCCAGAAGCCGGGCATCAACGTGGTGCTCATACAAACAGGTAAATAATTCATGCGTGAACGCGTCATTGGAAGACATATATTGCTGGTGCCATCTTGGCAAACGTAAACATGTGGTGTAATAAGTACAGTTACGAGTCTTGCAATACATAAAATAAGACATTACCGAATCTCTCAATACTGTAAATATAACATTAACTAAACCCGCAATACTGTAAAGATGATATTACAGAATCTCTCAATACTGTAAATATAACATTAACTAAACCCGCAATACTGTAAAGATGATATTACCGAATCTCTCAATACTGTAAATATAACATTAACTAAATCCGCAATACTGTACAGATGACATTACCGAATCTCTCAATACTGTAAATATAACATTAACTAAATCCGCAATACTGTACAGATGACATTACCGAATCTCTCAATACTGTAAATATAACATTAACTAAACCCGTAATACTGTACAGATGACATTACCGAATCTCGCAGTACTGTAAATATAACAGAAACCCCCAATACTGTAAAGATGATATTACCGAATCTCTCAATACTGTAAGTATAACATTAACTAAACCCCCAATACTGTACAGATGACATTACCGAATCTCGCAATACTGTAAATATAACATTAACTAAACCCCCATTACTGTAAAGATGATATTACCGAATCTCGCAGTACTGTAAATATAACATTAACTAAACCCCGAATACTGTAAAGATAACATTACCGAATCTCTCAATACTGTAAATATAACATTAACTAAACCCGCAATACTGTAAAGATGATGTTACCGAATCTCGCAGTACTGTAAATATAACATTAACTAAACCCGCAATACTGTAAAGATGATATTACCGAATCTCGCAGTACTGTAAATATAACATTAACTAAACCCGCAATACTGTAAAGATGATATTACCGAATCTCGCAGTACTGTAAATAGAACATTAACTAAACCCGCAATACTATACAGATGACACTACCAAATCTTTCAATACTGTAAATATAACATTAACTAAACCCCCAATGCTGTACAGATGACATTACCGAATCTCTCAATACTGTAAATAAAACATAAACCCGCAATACTGTAAAGATGATATTACCGAATCTCTCAATACTGTAAATATAACATTAACTAAACCCGCAATACTGTAAAGATGATGTTACCGAATCTCGCGGTACTGTAAATATAATATTAACTAAACCCGCAATACTGTACAGATGACATTACAGAATCTCTCAAAACTGTAAGTATAACATTAACTAAACCCGCAATACTGTAAAGATGATATTACCGAATCTCTCAGTACTGTAAATATAACATTAACTAAACCCGCAATACTGTACAGATGACATTACCGAATCTCTCAATACTGTAAATATAACATTAACTAAACCCGTAATACTGTAAAGATGACATTACCGAATCTCTCAATACTGTAAATATAACATTAACTAAACCCGCAATACTGTACAGATGACATTACCGAATCTCTCAATACTGTAAATATAACATTAACTAAACCCGTAATACTGTAAAGATGACATTACCGAATCTCGCAGTACTGTAAGTATAACATTAACTAAACCCGCAATACTGTACAGATGATATTACCGAATCTCTCAATACTGTAAATATAACATTAACTAAACCCGCAATACTGTACAGATGACATTACCGAATCTCGCAGTACTGTAAATATAACATTAACTAAACCCGCAATACTGTAAAGGTGATATTACCAAATCTTTCAATACTGTAAATATAACATTAACTAAACCCCCAATGCTGTACAGATGACATTACCGAATCTCTCAATACTGTAAGTATAACATTAACTAAACCCGCAATACTGTAAAGATGACATTACCGAATCTCGCAGTACTGTAAATATAACATTAACTAAACCCGTAATACTGTAAAGATGATATTACCGAATCTCTCAATACTGTAAATATAACATTAACTAAACCCGCAATACTGTACAGATGACATTACCGAATCTCGCAGTACTGTAAATATAACATTAACTAAACCCGCAATACTGTAAAGATGACATTACCGAATCTCTCAATACTGTAAATATAACATTAACTAAACCCGTAATACTGTACAGATGACATTACCGAATCTCTCAATACTGTAAATATAACATTAACTAAACCCGCAATACTGTAAAGATGATATTACCGAATCTCGCGGTACTGTAAATATAATATTAACTAAACCCGCAATACTGTAAAGATGATATTACCGAATCTCGCAGTACTGTAAATATAACATAAACCCGCAAAACTGTACAGATGACATTACCGAATCTCTCAATACTGTAAATATAACATTAACTAAACCCGTAATACTGTACAGATGACATTACCGAATCTCTCAATACTGTAAATATAACATTAACTAAACCCGCAATACTGTAAAGATGACATTACCGAATCTCTCAATACTGTAAATATAACATTAACTAAACCCACAATACTGTACAGATGACACTACCAAATCTTTCAATACTGTAAATATAACATTAACTAAACCCCCAATGCTGTACAGATGACATTACCGAATCTCTCAATACTGTAAATAAAACATAAACCGGCAATACTGTAAAGATGATATTACCGAATCTCTCAATACTGTAAATATAACATTAACTAAACCCGCAATACTGTAAAGATGATATTACCGAATCTCGCAGTACTGTAAATATAACATTAACTAAACCCGCAATACTGTACAGATGATGTTACCGAATCTCGCGGTACTGTAAATATAACATTAACTAAACCCGTAATACTGTAAAGATGATATTACCGAATCTCGCAGTACTGTAAATATAACATTAACTAAACCCGTAATACTGTAAAGATGATATTACCGAATCTCGCGGTACTGTAAATATAACATTAACTAAACCCGCAATACTGTAAAGATGACATTACCGAATCTCTCAATACTGTAAATATAACATTAACTAAACCCGCAATACTGTAAAGATGACATTACCGAATCTCGCAGTACTGTAAATATAACATTAACTAAACCCGCAATACTGTACAGATGACATTACCGAATCTCTCAATACTGTAAATATAACATTAACTAAACCCGCAACACTGTACAGATGACATTACCGAATCTCGCAGTACTGTAAATATAACATTAACTAAACCCGCAATACTGTAAAGATGATATTACCGAATCTTTCAATACTGTAAATATAACATTAACTAAACCCCAAATGCTGTACAGATGACATTACCGAATCTCTCAATACTGTAAGTATAACATTAACTAAACCCGCAATACTGTAAAGATGACATTACCGAATCTCGCAGTACTGTAAATATAACATTAACTAAACCCGTAATACTGTAAAGATGATATTACCGAATCTCTCAATACTGTAAATATAACATTAACTAAACCCGCAATACTGTACAGATGACATTACCGAATCTCTCAATACTGTAAATATAACATTAACTAAACCCGTAATACTGTACAGATGACATTACCGAATCTCTCAATACTGTAAATATAACATTAACTAAACCCGTAATACTGTACAGATGACATTACCGAATCTCTCAATACTGTAAGTATAACATTAACTAAACCCGCAATACTGTAAAGATGACATTACCGAATCTCGCAGTACTGTAAATATAACATTAACTAAACCCGCAATACTGTAAAGATGATATTACCGAATCTCTCAATACTGTAAATATAACATTAACTAAACCCGCAATACTGTACAGATGACATTACCGAATCTCGCAGTACTGTAAATATAACATTAACTAAACCCGTAATACTGTAAAGATGACATTACCGAATCTCTCAATACTGTAAATATAACATTAACTAAACCCGTAATACTGTACAGATGACATTACCGAATCTCTCAATACTGTAAATATAACATTAACTAATTCCGCAATACTGTAAAGATGATATTACCGAATCTCGCGGTACTGTAAATATAATATTAACTAAACCCGCAATACTGTAAAGATGATATTACCGAATCTCGCAGTACTGTAAATATAACATTAACTAAACCCGTAATACTGTAAAGATGATATTACCGAATCTCGCAGTACTGTAAATATAACATTAACTAAACCCGTAATACTGTAAAGATGATATTACCGAATCTCGCAGTACTGTAAATATAACATTAACTAAACCCCCAATACTGTAAAGATGACATTACCGAATCTCGCGGTACTGTAAATATAACATTAACTAAACCCGCAATACTGTACAGATGACATTACCGAATCTCGCAGTACTGTAAATATAACATTAACTCAACCGCAATACTGTACAGATGACATTACCGAATCTCGCAGTACTGTAAATAAAACAAAGGGGTCAAGCAAACCTGCACATAAAAACTTTCCAGTCAGAATAATTCCTAATTATAGTAATATATTTTCTGGCAGTGTTTTTTGGCGACTCCGGGATATATTGTCAATTAAATGTGAAAACACACACTGTCAGTTTGATAAAAGTATGTCTGTGTCTTTTGGTTTAATTGGAAATGTATTATGTACATGGAAGTTTATTTTGGAAGAAGCACTGATATCCCCGCAATATTGAGAGGGAACCCAATCTGCCCTACATTCACTTCTTGCTGGTGAAGTCTTAATACATACTACACACGCTTCAGTGAGCAGCTGATATGTATATATAGGATGCAGATACATTTAGTATGCTTTATCTCAGTGTTTTAAAGAATTATCCATCCTCGTGTAAGAATGTCGAGGTTTGATTGGTTCACGTGACTCTGATAAAATACCATGTACACCCGTCACGATCCGCAAGCAGGGAGTACAAAAGTCGTATCATCCCGCGACGCCTCGGTGACCACGTGAAGTGAGAAAAGCGTGCATCGCCAAGCCTTTAGTAACGTGCGTTGCATTGAGGTCAATCGATCAGCTGGTGTCAACATGGCAGCAAGGAAACGTTTTGCCACAACTGAGAATGAAATTGATGCGTATTGTTTTCTTTTGATTTAGTAAAAACATACGGCTGGATAAATGCGTTATCACATCGTGTCGAGGGAAATGCGGGGTTTTATCAGTCCCTCGTAAGGTTATAGCCGGAGGCGAGGGGAATACAACCTTACGAGGGACTGATAAAACCCCGTAGTTCCCTCGGCACGATGTGATAACTTATAATGTCTAGTATGGATGAAGTCACTACAGATTATATCATGGAACGCATTTGAACCTGAATCCCGACACCCAGTGATTCTCACTTTACACCAGAAACGTCCATAGCTCACGCGGTACGTGCAACAGTTATTCGCCCATACGGTACCGGTGAACTGCCTGTTCAGGAAACACATTCTTCCCATATACACCTGACTCGGCCACGGTTCTAGTCAGATCTGAAGATTGTTGTCGAGGATATAATATGAAACATTTAAACTTCATCAAATAGAAATAACATCATACTACTGCAAATACATTTGCAATTCAGTTTGTTTGCTTTTGGGAGCCCGGAAAATAGCATTTTAAGATATTCCTAAACAGCAAAGTAGAAATACAAATTTATACGAAAAACTTAATTACTAATGCAATATATAAGGTTTTTTTTCATTTGCTTCATACTAGGGCTGGGACGGGTAAGAAAAAAATGGAATCGAGTAACCGCATGTACTTACCCGAATCGGAATCGAGTACCCGGAAATGTAAGGAAAACAGCGCTTCTGTCAACTTTCTGAATATTCAATCACGAGTTGACGGAGATTTTTATACAAACCTTGAAAGGATGGCAATAAGACACTGAAACTGAACGTAGGCTATTTAATTTATGTCTATTTAACAAATATAGAAAGAAACACCATTACATGCATTCCTCGTTAAAGCACAGGACTTTTCGTTCCCACTGTTACTGTAACTTGACTCCTCACTGCTCATGCTTATATATAAACTCTGTCAAAAAAGAAACGCAACCCCTGTATTTTAGAGATTTTGATCTGAAGTTTTAGGACGACACGGCATTTTTATTATTTAAGACAGAAGTCTGAAATTTGGCAGAAGCATAACCCAGATGGGCATGTTTAAAATTGTCATTTCAAAAGTCATCTCACAGACACCAGTTTGTCACCAGGGGGGCGTCTTTCTCAGTATCTCGTATGAGCACCACGCGCTGCAATCACTGCACGGCATCTCCTTGGACAAGAACGGACAAGACGCCGGATTCTTTCCTGGGGAATGGCTCTCCACTCCTCCTGCAGTGCAACGGCGAGCTGTTGCAGCGTCTGTGGCGGCGGCTGACGTTGACGTACGCGTCGATCCAGAGTATCCCACAGGTGTTCAATAGGGTTGAGGTCTGGTGATTTAGAGGGTCATGGCAAGACATTGACGTTGGAATTCTGCAGAAAGTTCATTGTTGCACGTGCAGTATGAGGCCGGGCGTTGTCCCGTTGAAAAATCTGTGTCTGTTGGTCAATAATCGGGAGAAGGTGAAGCTCTAACACGTGGTTGATGTAACGTTGGGCTGTCAGGTTCCCTGGAACGATCACCAAGTCTGATTTCTGGTTGTATGAGATGGTTCCCCACACCATGACGCTTTCTCCGCCAAATCTGTCCACCTGTCGGACGCAGATGGGCGCAAAACGTTTATGACGTCTCCTATACAGACGCTGTCTTCCGTCGTGACGTTGCAAAAAGAAAACGTGATTCATCAGAAAACCAGATTCGCCTCCAGTTTTGTAAAGTCCGTATCCTTACGTTGTTGCACCACCTGAGTCGTCGGCGTCGATGTAGGGGCGTAGTACAGGTCCAACAACTGGTCTACAGGCACGTAAACCCGCTTCTTTCAGACGGTTCCTAATCGTTTGAGCTGACACTCTCCTCAAACCTGGTATTTGTGTGGCAGTCACGGTTGGTAGGGCATGCCCATTACGCAGGTGATGGACCCGGATGTACCGATCTTGAAGGGGGGTCGTGCTTCTTGGCCTTCCACTTCTCGGGCGATCGTTGGTCAAATTGAAGTTGTTGTAGCGGCTCCAAAGTCGGGATATCGTTGTTTTGTGAACATTTAGGTGCCGTGCAACAGTTCCAAAACTTTCTCCGGCTTGAACACGACCAATGGCGATATTTCGGTCGGCAGCACTCAATCGTGGCATTTTGAACACAGCTTTTCGGCGACAAATGAATGAATATAATACGGAAGCACATGGGCTTTTATACACCCCTACATTAACTGCCATTTTCATGATTTGCATGTGTTTTTTTTGTGCGAAGTCACCATGAGGGTCATTTCATGCGTTGTGACGGAATAAGCAATAAAATACACTTATGCGTACAAATGCAGTTGTTTGGATGGTAATCTTCATTAATTACGTGTCTCATTTCAATACATTCGAATAAAATTTAGTTTGGAAGCAATAACTTCATTCAAACGAATTTTTCATATCTGAGGACAGGGGTTGCGTTTCTTTTTTGACAGAGTTTATATACAGTCGTTTATAATGACCTCCATTAATCGGACAATACAAATGATGCAAATGTGTGTTACGTCATTAATGAAAAAGAAAAGTTATTATGTGCCCTTCTCCTTTTCCGGGTACTCGATTCCTAGAAATAGTACTCGATTCCAGCATTACCCGACCCGGATTCGATTACCCGAGTACCCGTCCCAGCCCTACTTCATACCGCTCATTATGTCTGCACCGAAAACACCAGTTCATTGCAGTACAGATATATATAGATGCATATAGATAGCCAATGTTCATACTTGTCTGTCCTGCATGTTTGTGTTTCTTCAGGTCCAATGTTCATACTTGTCTGTCCTGCATGCTCTGCTGTATTCCTTCAGGTCCAATGTTCATACATGTCTGTCCTGCATGTTTGTGTTTCTTCAGGTCCAATGTTCATACTTGTCTGTCCTGCATGCTCTTCTGTATCTTCAAGTCCAATGTTCATACATGTCTGTCCTGCATGTTTGTGTTTCTTCGGGTCCAATGTTCATACTTGTCTGTCCTGCATGCTCTTCTGTGTTTCTTCAGGTCCATTCTTCATACTTGTCTGTCCTGCATGTTCTTCTGTATTGCTTCAAGTCCAATGTTCATACATGTCTGTCCTGCTTGTTCTTCTGTGTTGCTTCAGGTCCAATGTTCATACTTGTCTGTCCTGCATGTTCTTCTGTTTTTCGTCAGGTCCAATGTTCATACTTGTCTGTCCTGCATGTTTGCGTGTCTTCAGGTCCAATGTTCATACTTGTCTTTCCTGCATGTTCTTCTGTGTTGTTTCAGGTCCAATGTTCTTGCTTGTCTGTCCTCCATGTTCTTCTGTGTTGCTTCAGGTCCAATGTTCATACTTGTCTGTCCTGCATGTTCTGTATTCCTTCAGGTCCAATGTTCATACTTGTCTGTCCTGCGTGTTATTCTGTGTTTCTTCAGGTCCAATGTTCATACTTGTCTGTCCTGCATGTTCTTCTGTGTTTCTTCAGGTCCAATGTTCATACTTGTCTGTCCTCCATGTTCTTCTGTGTTTCTTCAGGTCCAATGTTCATACTTGTCTGTCCTGCATGTTCCTCTGTGTTTCTTCAGATCCAGTGTTCATACTTGTCTGTGCTCATTGTTCTTCTGTGTTTCTTCAGGTCCAATGTTCATACTTGTCTGTCCTGCATGTTCTTCAGTCTTCCTTCAGGTCCAATGTTCATACATGTCTGTCCTGCTTGTTCTTCTGTGTTGCTTCAGGTCCAATGTTCATACTTGTCTGTCCTGCATGTTCTTCTGTGTTTCTTCAGATCCAGTGTTCATACTTGTCTGTGCTCCTTGTTCTTCTGTGTTTCATCAGGTCCAATGTTCATACTTGTCTGTCCTGCATGTTCTTCTGTGTTTCTTCAGGTCCAGTGTTCATACTTGTCTGTCCTCCATGTTCTTCTGTGTTTCTTCAGGTCCAGTGTTCATACTTGTCTGTCCTCCATGTTCTTCTGTGTTGCTTCTGCATGTTCTTCTGTGTTTCTTCAGATCCAGTGTTCATACTCCAATGTCTGTCCTCCATGTTCTTCTGTGTTTCTTCAGATTCTTCTGTGTTTCTTCAGGTCCAATGTTCATACTTGTCTGTCCTCCATGTTCTTCTGTGTTTCTTCAGGTCCAGTGTTCATACTTGTCTGCCCTGCATGTTCTTCTGTGTTGTTTCAGGTCCAATGACTCCCGAGGAACGGCGACATGCAGAAGCCCTGAAGATGAATGCCTTCATTGACAGAGTACACATTGAACTTCCCCCAACCAAACCGAGTATGTACCTTGTTACAGCACGCATCCATCGTTATAGGGAGCTTTACCCCCAGTTTCAACAATATGTCAAGTAGATCACGGATTGTCAGCTTGGTGGGGTTTGGAATCGGTGCTACTGATGAAACAAATGCATTGTAAATAGTGTCCATGATTGACGGCTCGTTGGCCAGATCGTTGAACGTCCGACGGACGTAACTCGGTACATTTATGGCAGCCACAAGGTCAATGCGACACTACTAGACTCAATGAATATTTGTCCTGTGATGTTTCAGCATGAATCTGTCATACAAATCAGCAATCACCTTCGCCGGACACATCGATTTCCCCCCTTTTCCTAGACATGCACGTTTTGGTATTTTAGGAATCATCATATTTGTAAGACCCGGATGCTGGAGCCTTCCCCACAACGAAACATCAGCATCTGGAACACATGGAACACCTGGAACACCTGGACGAGGACCAGCACAGACACAGCAGAAGAAGCAGAATGTGTCCTTTGGTGACTTGCCAGACCACACCACGACACATAAGTCGAAGTCTGTCGATGACGGTAAGTAATGATATTGTACACAGAGATAAGTCGAAGTCTATCGATGAAGGTAAGTTATGATATGGTACACAGACATAAGTCGAAGTCTATCGATGAAGGTAAGTTATGATTTGGTACACAGACATAAGTTGAATTATGTCGATTACAATAAGTGTTGATATGTACACACAGATAAGTCGAAGTATGTCGATGAAGGTAAGTATTAATATGTACACACAGATTAGTCGAAGTATGTCGATGACAGTATTTGTTATGTACTCACAGATAAGAGGGCCATGTAGGTGTCTAGATTAATAATAGTCGACATAGGCATGATGTCGACCTATGTCAAAAGTCCAGATGTATCTCGATAAAACAGTATCGGCTCTATATCCATTCATTATCATATAAGACGCCATTGGTAGCCAAACGGTTACAATATTTAGCGTACAGCGTTTGTGTCGGTTAGGCCAAGGATGAATAGAGTTGTATCCCCTTGGTGTGGCAGGAACATACACCACTTTAGGCTTGCCTCCCTCAGTCAGCTGACACGATGAACGTGTCTGAACTACATATTGAATTAAAGTGCAAAACGCCCTCCACATTCGTATGAAATGTCTTCAAAATCAGATTCACATGTACTATTCACACTAATCTTCAACACCTCGTCCTGAATGACTAAGTGGGAGAGTCCTGTCCCACATTTCGGAATGTGTCACCAAACTTATGTGATGAATGTGAACATATGTGTTATTCCAGGAGAAGTGGCCAGAAAGAGAAAGACATTTGCACGTGTCTCGCGGAAGGGGTCCAGACGTCTCAGTCGCCTCCGATCGTTCAAGAGGTCGTCGTCGTTAGAGGACGTGGAACACCTGGAGCCCGTCATGCCTGATCTAGGTAGAGTACGACCCAGCAGCAGCACGCAGCAACATAGTGCAACCATAATGTTACTGTCCCTAGGGACTCTATGTAATGTGGGATTGATTGACTGTTGTTTAACGCCGCACTCAGCAATATTCCAGCTACATGTATACGGCGGCGATCTGAAAATAATCGAGTCTGGACCAGATAATCCAGTGATGAACAAAATGGACATTGATATTATATGTTGGAAACCGATATCGTACTTTCAAAGGTACAGACTAAATTAAGATTTGTAACAAATGTTTTTTTAACTGTGTTAGCCACCTCGATACAGACCATCAACACCATATATAATGGCGATATGAAACAACCGTACATCCTATCTAAGAATTTCTACCTTAACAAAATGAAAACATTATCTTTTCTAAAGACTTTCCCCGGCACTATATTATTTTCTTAAGAGGAAAGACAATCATGAAACTGTAGATTTGCCAAATTCCGGTGTGTCCCATGTGGATTCAGATTAGTGAGAATGACTGAACCCACGGGGGTACAAACACATCTGTATAAACTTATATATAGATTATTACATGAGCAAGTGTGTTATGCGACTTATACGAAACGAGTGCGAAAGTTTGTATTGCCCGAGCGAGAGCGAGAGAAATACAAAATGTGGAAAGTGTTTCGTAGAAGTCGTGCGACACACTTGCTCGTGTAATAATTTCTTCATTATCCTATTTTATTCATGTGCATTTGTGCAGTAAACACGGTAGGCAAGTGTGACTGCCCAGTTCATTGACGTCACGTTCAATTGTTTAATGACGTCACAGACGACGAAACACACAAACAATCACATGGTTGCTAGACAAAAGTAATATATGCACATGTGCACATATGATATTTATGACACTGGTTATGTTTCACCATATGGATAATAAATCTTGTTCCAGCCCCGGTAGAACCCACAGAGAAACGACAGACAATGATGAAAAAGACACGGAGTCTGGATGCTCTAGACGACGACCAGCCGATCTGGCTCGACCGCCGTATGTATTTATCTGATCAATGCCAAGTTCTACAAACATATATTCACCCCTGAGTGTTCTCTTGGCCGTGGGGGCGGTGGGGTAGCCGAGCGGTTAAAGCGTTCGCTCGTCACGAAGCCACGGGTTCGATTCCCCACAATGTGTGGAGCTCATTTCTGGTGTTTCCCGCCGTGTTATTGCTGGAATATTGCTAAAAGCATGATCGCTCACTCTGATTGGCCGTCTTGTGCTCTCACATAACCTGCGTAAAAGCAAAATGATCACAGGTCAGTTGGTTATAAAGGGATTAACTGCAGCTGATGCAGTCTGGACTTTATAACCATTGAGGCTGTGAGTGTTGCTCTTGTTTCATGTGGTTTTTTTATTAATTGGCAACAGAAATTTGTTGCGGCGAAAAGTGGCCTTGTAAAATGGCGTTCGTATATATATATATATATATATATATATATATATATGTGTGTGTGTGTGTGTGTGTGTGTGTGTGTGTGTGTGTGCGTGCGTGCGTGCGTGCTTCTATAATAGTTCCAGTGTTTGGGTAGTCAACTAACCCAAAGCCTCCCTTTAAATATGTTCAAATCGTTTAGCTAATTGCAGGTACAGCTAATTCTAAGTACGGGGTGCCGGTGTGGGTAGCTCTCATACCTTAACAAAGGCTGAATGTAGTCATAGCGCTAAGATTGCGTTGTACAAGGAAACCCAGGCAAACATTTCTGGAGAAAAGTAACCGGTTGTTCTATATACTGTTCAGATTAACAGTTTGGGAGATACTAAGCACATGACACATGTCTAATTGGGAAACAAGTACCTCGTATACCCGTCATGCCACTGCTAAGCTGGACCGCCTCCGTGGTGTAGTGGTTAGAGCGTCCGCCCGGAGAGCGGAAGGTCGCGGATTCGATCCGCGACCGCGTCATACCAAAAGACGTTACAATATGGTACTTGTTGGTCCCTGCCTGGCGCTCGGCATTAATGGGTACAACAACGACTGGTCGGCTCGAAGCCAGTATAATGTGTCTGAGTGTGGTATTCATGCTTCACTGCGGCATGGTATCTCAGTGGGCTAGCACTATAAAACCAGCTTCAGTCTGGGCTAGTACAAGCAGCCGCACATACACATACACACGCATGGACGTCGTCATATGAGCGAAATATTCTCAGGCACGACGTAAAACCCAATTCCACCACCACCACCACTGCTAAGCTATGAACTATGAACTATTCTGTTTACATCAGGCGTACCATGAAACACTGGTATACGTTCTGACTGATAATCTGCATGTTTGAGCATTCTGAACCTTGGATGACGTAAGGATAGCTGTATCTGTCAATATTATTACTTGCAAATATATGGATGTTATTGTTGTGATCCTGTGAAAACATTACAGATCAAAGCATTGACCTGAGTGAAATCGACGCCAGACGAGAGTACACGAGAGAACTCGAGATCATACAGGGCGACTCCGTGAAACAGTTAGTGAAGGGCTTTGAGGACTACAGTAGGAGGGTGAGCAGGGATTGGTCGGCCACCTCCCTTCCCTTGTAACAGGGTCCGGTGCTTGTATTATAGCAATCACTTCTTAAATGTCACACTTTGATACATTATATATTATACTTCTAACACGAGAGGGGCGGTGGGGTAGCCTAGTGGTTAAAGCGTTGGCTAATCACGCCGAAGACCCGGGTTCGAATCCCCACATGGGTACAATGTGTAAAGTCCATTTATGGTGTCCCCCGCCGTGATGTTGCTGGAATATTGCTAAAAGCGGCGTAAAACCAAACTCAGTCAGTCAGTCTAACACGAGATGTGAAAATTGGGCCTCTGTGACGTCACATCTATGACGTAACAATGGACCCAGTGTCAAGGACAATTGGCGTTTGGGTCATTTAATTAATTTTGTTACTCACACTTTACACTTGACATAACCAAGCATCCTTCCCTCTACATCAGTGCTAAGATGCTGCTTGTATCGCCCCTCCAACAATGTGGCTAGTTGGAGATATCCTTTTGTATAGTGTATAATTTAGGGAAATCGAACATATCAATTTGACAAGAGAATGCTGTCTCCACCCAGCCACCGTCTGACCCTGGCGGGTCTCAAAGATCTCACCGTAATATGTATATAGTCAGGTGTATCCACCCAGCCACCGTGGGACCCTGGCGGGTCTCACCACTGTGTGTATATGGTTAGGTAAAGGTGCTCATTTAGGTTTGTTTTTATCTGTGTACAAAGGGATACCAACTGTCTGTGATATGAAATGTTTATGTTAAAATTCCGAGATAGTGCTTTATAGATACTGGTCAGATACTTTTATATAACGAGGAGAAAGCACACCCAGCTGTCCAATATATTCCTGATTGAGCGTGTTGAATACACGAACAGTTAAATATACATATTCTTGTGCGAGTATCTCATAATGGTGATATTGTCCAATCTGCAATACTCACTGTTTGATCCGTGTCTGACGTACAGAAGCCGTGTGTCACGTACACATGCAGTGTTTGACGTACAGAAACAGTGTCTGATGTACAGAAGCAGTCTGACTTATGGAAGCAGTGTCTGACGTACAGAGGCAGTGTTTGACATACAGTAGCAGTGTCTGACGTACAGATGCAGTGTCTGACTTATGGAAGCAGTGTCTGACGTACAGAGGCAGTGTTTGACATACAGTAGCAGTGTCTGACGTACAGATGCAGTGTCTGACTTATGGAAGCAGTGTCTGACGTACAGGAGCAGTGTTTGACGTACAGAGGCAGTGTTTGACGTAGAGGGACAGTGTCTGACGGACATGAGCAGTGTTTAACGTACAGAGGCAGTGTTTGACGTACAAGAGCAGTGTATGACGTACAGGAGCAGTGTTTGACGTACAGGGGCAGTGTTTGACGTAGAGGGGCAGTGTCTGACGTACAGGAGCAGTGTTTAACGTACAAAGGCAGTGTTTGACGTACAAGAGCAGTGTATGACGTACAGGAGCAGTGTTTGACGTACAGGGGCAGTGTTTGACGTAGAGGGGCAGTGTCTGACGTACAGGAGCAGTGTTTAACGTACAGAGGCAGTGTTTGACGTACAAGAGCAGTGTATGACGTACAGGAGCAGTGTTTGACGTACAGGGGCAGTGTCTGACTTACGGAAGCAGTGCTTGACGTGTGTTTTTTCTTCAAAATCCTTGACGAATCACGAGTTCAGGGGGGCATACCATCGCTTGTCCTGGATGAATACAGTTGTATTGGTTCTCGTATTAGTTAGGATGTCATTACGTTCCAAGTTTTTCTTTCATTGTAAATAAAATATCTGAACTCTTGATGGTTGTGTTACTCAGCGGATCCTGGAACAATACAGGTATACATCTCTGCATAATGATCCTGTAGAACTGAATCCCTAACTTTATCTTGTTCTGACCAATCAGAACCAGGCATACTTCAGTGTCATGGTACAGTGGTGGATAACATCGCCGTTTGGAATTATGGTAGTGCCCCTGTTGTCAAGACATATCGCCTACCCTGTATTCCTCCCGGGTACCCACGTGTCACCATGAATGACGTCAGCATTGATATATGTTCATGTAATCTTCTTGAAAACCGGGCTGCAGGGTTCACGACGCAGCTATTGGATGTGTGGAGCTACGCCCCTCGTCCGTGCCAGAACTCATACCCTGGTTTTGTTGCCATCTTGATTCTTTGTTAGCACTACCCCTAGCTCTACATCACTACATCACTACATCACTACATCACGCGAAACACACAGACTGACCCCAAACCGGTTTATCTTGGCGTGTCAACATATTTATTTGTTGATTAAGGCACCAATACTCCAGACAAGGGCACCCTGTAGATACGACATGTCGTAAGTCAAGTAACCGGACTAGACAAACCCGTGAATGATGTAACGGGAAACGGTCCATGACCTCTGGGTGCCATGACATGCTGTCAACCTTAAGCTTGTAACCGGACTAGACAAGCCCGTGATTGCTGTAATGGGGGAAACAGTTCACTCACTCTTGGTACCATGACATGCTGTCAACCAAGTAATTCGACCAGACAAACCCGTGATTGCTGTAATGGGGAAACAGTCCACGCACTCTGGGTACCATGACATGCTGTCAACCAAGTAATTCGACCAGACAAACCCGTGATTGCTGTAATGGGGAAACAGTCGACGCTCTCTGGACACTATGACATGCAGATACCTGAGTCTGTCGATCAGATCTGTATGTCAGCCTGTTCCGTCCAACAGTGCTTATACTCTTCCTACTCAACTATACTTCCCCTAAAACAATGCGCATACCCTGGTCACTTGTAAACGTGGTCTGAATTCCAGGAGGTGACTCTGACCATTGTTTGATGTGTTCCTGTATTTCATCCTGACATATTGCACCTTCCCCTTCACTATATAAAACACGGGTAATCAGGTTTGAAATTTCTACGCTATTGCATGTTTTTATCTACAAAAGTTATCTGTGTATATAGATGTTGACTGGTTAGATACAAGCTTCATATTATGTCTTTATATCAACCATTCAGTAAACTTCTCCACACACAAACATTAACGGCATCTAGGAGTCACGTGACAGTTGACCACAAATTGACAAATGGTACCCTTGCTATTTTCTGTCTGTGATTCAGAAATTAGTTGGATCTTGTAGATTTTCTTCATAAACAATTGTAGGGGAAGGATTACGAGATGTGATGTTTGATTGACACCCCTTGGACCGGAGGCGTGTCCTCCACAGATCGATCTGTGGTTACGTTATACACTGTCACCACTTCCATCATCTTGGCCTCGGACCGAAGTTCCTGGAACAAGGAAGTAAAAACTCACGTCACTGGTGTATGGAATTGTTAAAAATCACATATCTCTATGGGGGTACAAATGCATAAATCACTAATTGCCATCGTTATAAATGAAACCCCGTCATTAAAACTACTCATTTCGATCTTTAATTAACTTAAATCGACCTTTTTGACAACAGTGCACAATTCTCACCCGCGAACAAATTTTAAATTAATCAGAGCGGCGCGTCTCCGTGACGTCATGTGAGGAGTAGATATGAGGGCCGATGCCATTCGTAACTACTCGTGTCATTCCGGCAAGCCGGATGGCGTCTCGTATCCCTCTCGTGGCCATGTTTGCGATTGGGCTCTGTCTAAGCGCAAACGGGCATGGAGATGAAAATAGCCTAGTACCATTACCAAGGAACGATAACTCTGAATTTCCAAACATGGCTTATAGAATATCCTATAGCCCGTGGGCAAAACAGCAATACAGTCATTCCCCTTTGTAAATATGTTTCAGTGTTTAAAGTTTCTGATCCTTTAGCTCAAAGTTTATGTTTGAATTGTGCTTTGCATTGTTTAGCGATGTTTCAAACTTCAACGCTGCCGCCATTTTCATGCTTCAAAATGCGTTTTACTACCCGCGATTTGATTGGTTTGCCACTATTCTTGGCAATAATGGCGTACGTTAGGGGTACGAGCCTTCTTGTAAGTCACGGAAAGAGGCGAGTAGTTACGAATGGGCCGATGCAGAATTCATGTACATTTCAGGGGCTAAATTATGTTGTTTACAGGTTTGTATAAACCTGAAATCGTGACAACTGTTGTGAAAAATGAAAGCTATATGTTCTCACTATCTACTGTCATTTAATTTTGTCTCCTGCTTTGCCTAGTTTCCGAGTTACAACTTGTTTTGATAGACGATTCTGTGAAAATCGCTTGGTGTCGCTCGGCCTTATTTGTTCGAGCCAGACGCTAGTGATAGTGAAAACGATGATCAGCCTCGCTCATCACGGTTACGGTTAATTTCTTCAACCTAAACAGTGCGACATTAAGAAGGGTAGATGTCCATCAGATGCAGTTATTTGAAAATATCCCCGGTAGTTCTTGTCTGATTGTAATAAAGTATCAAAGCAGTGTGGGCTTTTTCAGGTTTTCTAATGCCTGGATGGTATAATGACTGATCCAAATTGATCCCATTTCTCTGGGTTTTTTTACCTCGATATTTAATCATGTCATGTAAAAATATGACGTCTATTACGTCTGACATTTGATTTATTTGAATCCGTAAACTAAACAACCCTACTTTGCCATTGCTAGAAGAATCTGGTTATTTACTTAGGTAAATAGGTACATAGGTTTAGAACACAGCAAATGCTTATATGTATTTATTATGCAACAATGAAGTTCTGTTCGTATTCTCAAAATAGTGTCGGCCCATAAGTTTTCACATGCAATACAGCAATTAATACTCCCTTGTTGTAACCAGTGTCATGTGGTATAAAACTACATATGTTATTTGCTATCATTCACTTGATGGTCAGTTAATGAATTTATAACAGGTATAATTAGTGGTAGCACCACTTAGATTACCCGACAAAGGTTCCCGTTTGGCATTTCTTGTGTTGGAGTAAATACTCAACATTATAAACATTGATCAAAGGATTAACCGATAACACGCTGATTGAGTAATTACTTTTATCTTGCACAGCGGATTTGTCAAAAGGTAGTGTTTATGTATGTAGATTTACTAATCTATACTGAATATACTCTGTCGTGTCTGTGTCAGTGTAAAAACAACGTCTTCTTTCAAAGGACTAACCGCCAATACATTGATGATTGCTCGTTATTGGCTATTAACTAAATTACTTTTTTGAAAGAATGGCGGACATTATGCACTTAGTTGCAAGGTGTGCTATCTTGGGTGACCAATGAGACTATACACCAATGTGAAATACCTGAAACTTTTTTCGTATATTAGACTGTTAAAAGACACATCACTTGGAACAGCTGCAGATGAATGGCATATCACTTGTTTTTGTGGATATTGATGGATACATTCTTCGAACAAGCTAAGGTAATAGCCTGACATTGTTCCTATAACTTTAATCTGTTTTAATTTGAATATTTGCATTTTCTTTTTACTCACTTGTCGTAGCATTCAACAGAATCGTTGTTTTCGCCGTGAAGTGTAATGAGACAGACAACATACACTAGGGCGTGTGTGCGAATTATGATTCACATTGGCAAACTATCAAATGTCTAGATATTACAGTCCTGTTATAAATTCATTATAAGGTTCAGCAGATCGCCCGCTTTTTATTAAGTTTCAAAATGCCTACAAGTATGATAATAATCTTATTAGGAATATAAGACGAAATATAAAGACGTACATTGACTAGTATCTACATACTGGTGAGTGGATGTTAACCACGTGAATGTAGCAAGAAATTTATCGCGCAGTATTGTCACTTCGACCCCCACCTCGCTTCCGTGGAAGAAATCGTTATGTTACAAGTTGCAACTGTGTCATGCAAAATCCTTTTAGTCATGATTCAAATACATATTTAACTACGAGAAGAAAGTAGTTTTGATTTTCTAACTTGATGAAAACAAACCATAATCTCATTAATTCTAACAGACTTTAGCCCGTGACTTCACGATTTTCAAAAATGGCGGCGCCCCGTCGCGAACATCCGCCAGTCTGAGGATAAATGCTATTTAGGTTTGTTTACACCCAGTAATAAAATCAAAACTACTTTCTATTAGGTAGTAAAATATGTATTTGATTGAGGCTAATAGGATTTTGCATGACATAACTTATAACATGACAATTTCTCTCGTGGAAGCGAGGTGGGTGTCAATATAATACTATTTACAATATTATTGTCACTTCGACCACAACCTCGCTTCCGAGGAAGAAATCGTTGTTACAAGTTGTGTCATGGAAAATCTTTATGGTCATCAATCATATACATATTTTACTACAACTAGTAAGTAGTTTTGATTCTTTAACTTCCGTGAGCGATCTGAACACAAGTAAGATATCGTTCCAGGCTTCCACAAAATCATCAAAAATGACGAGCTTGCTACACACTTTATATACAGCTAACTGAAAATCCTTCCTCATATGACGTCACTGCAGTGCTCTGGCCACAGAGTTACGTAACCTGTCTGTGGTTTCGTTGGCGGGCGAGAGTGAAGCAGGCGACTTTTTGGCAACTTATAATCGCTCAGTATTAATTAACCAAACTTTTTTTAAGAATGAATTTGGTGTTCCGCATAAGACTAACCACAAATCTTTCATATGTAATGGTTAGAAGAGTACAAAAAAACAAAGTTTATTGTTCTTTAATGTATGTGTCGGTCTTCAATATCCTTCATGTGTTTCACTGCAACTAGCTGGCAAAATAACTACTGAACGTTGTAGAAAGACTGCAGAGCGTTTACTTTCAGCTGAAATAATCCTATGTTCAAGATTCGTGACTGATAAACCCATTGCCCTTAACGGTGTATCATGTATATTTCCCCATTTCTATTACATCCTTAACGTTCTCACATTATTGGCAAACATTACAAACATTATCTATGATGGTATACCCACTATTTCATACTGAGGTTCAGGGGGCCAACTTCACAAAGCTATCGTAGCGCTACGACTGTCGTAAGTCTTCGTTAAAGTTTAGGAGCTACGATCACCATAGCGCTACGACTGACGTAAGTCTATGTTAAAATGTGGGAGTTACGATCACCACAGCGCTACGACTGTCGTAAGTCTATGTTAAAGTATGGGAGTTACGATCACCACAGCCCTACGACTGTGGTAAGTCTATGTTAAAGTATGGGAGTTACGATCCCCATAGCGCTACGACTGTGGTAAGTCTATGTTAAAGTATGGGAGTTACGATCACCTTAGCGCTACGACTGTCGTAAGTCTATGTTAAAGTATGGGAGTAACGATCACCACAGCGCTACGACTGACGTAAGGCTATGTTAAAATGTGGGAGTTACGATCACCACAGCGCTACGACTGTCGTAAGTCCATGTTAAAGTATGGGAGTTACGATCGCCACAGCGCTACGACTGTCGTAAGTCTATGTTAAAGTATGGGAGTTACGATCACCACAGCGCTACGACTGTCGTAAGTCTATGTTAAAGTATGGGAGTTACGGTCACCACAGCGCTACGACTGTCGTAAGTCTATGTTAAAGTATGGGAGTTACGATTACCTTAGCGCTGCGACTGTCGTAAGTCTATGTTAAAGTATGGGAGTTACGATCACCACAGCGCTACGACTGTCGTAAGTCTATGTTAAAGTATGGGAGTTACGATCACCATAGCGCTACGACTGTCGTAAGTCTATGTTAAAGTATGGGATTTACGGTCACCACAGCGCTACGACTGTCGTAAGTCTATGTTAAAGTATGGGAGTTACGATTACCTTAGCGCTGCGACTGTCGTAAGTCTATGTTAAAGTGTGGGAGTTACGATCACCATAGCGCTACGACTGTCGTAAGTCTATGTTAAAGTGTGGGAGTTACGATCACCATAGCCCTACGACTGTCGTAAGTCTATGTTAAAGTGTGGGAGTTACGATCACCTTAGCGCTACGACTGTCGTAAGTCTATGTTAAAATACGGGAGTTACGATCACCATAGCGCTACGACTGTCGTAAGTCTATGTTAAAGTGTGGGAGTTACGATCCCTATAGCGCTACGACTGTCGTAAATCTATGCTAAAGTGTGGGAGTAACGATCACCTTAGCGCTACGACTGTCGTAAGTCCATGTTAAAATACGGGAGTTACGATCACCTTAGCGCTACGACTGTCGTAAGTCTATGTTAAAGTTTGGGAGTTACGATCACCATAGCGCTACGACTGTCGTAAGTCTATGTTAAAGTTTGGGAGTTAGGGTTGTCTTAGGGTTACGATCGCTTTGTGAAAGAGGGGCCCAGAACATTAACTTTATGTTCAAAGTACACAAGACACTTTATCATACATGCAGGCGAGGCGCAGCGCCTCAGGAAATACGGAATTTACAAGGGTCTTACAGTCCCGTACACCCTTCGAAAACACCGTGTGGCGAATTTATTACCCTTAAGATCTTTTAATTTAGCTTATCTTTAAATAACAACATTCAATCATGGGCAGAATGAGACACAAAACATTTCGCCATGATTTTTCCTGAACGGTCATAAAGGGAGATAACTCGGGATGGCTTGGTTTATGATTAAAAATATCGAATTTGAGGTTTTATCAAACGACAAGTGAAATACAGAAACATTTTATGTTTTGGATACATTTATTGACACAAACAAATAGGAAATTATGGCAATAGTTTTAGTGCTCTGTTTATACACATAGTTGTATAAGTCAACTCTAAAATTTCAACGCGAGAAGCCGTTTTGAAGCCACATTCCACCTAAGGTCATGGTCATTCGTACAACCCGTGTAGTGTGTCACATGACAGATTTGACGGGATATACGGTTCGTACACCCTGGCAAATCCACCACATGGTTTTGCATGCTTTGGCTATTGACCAATCAGATTTCGACAAATTTATCTTAAGGGTAATAATTTACTATATATACCTGCAGGTTTAATGACCAGGCATATATTTATTGATAAAACATACCTTTCAAAAGAATAACTGTCTCTACAAGACAGGTAAAATTAGTGAAAATCCAGGAACATGTATATCATCACAAATTTTAACTGTTAGTCAAATGTATCCTTAAATCTACTTGTCTCTGAACTTTTGAAAACATCCACAAAAGAGACCGATCCCTGAGTGTCAGACTTTCTGGACACATCCACATGTGAGACACACATTTGTGTGTCAGAACTGAACACATCTACCAGTGTCTGAACTGCAGGACACATCTACCAGTGAGACTCATCTCCGAGTGTCTGAACTGCAGGACACATCTACCAGTGAGACTCATCTCAGAGTGTCTGAACTCCAGGACACATCTGCCAGTGAGACTCATCTCCGAGTGTCTGAACTGCAGGACACATCCACATGTGAGACTCATCTCCGAGTGTCTGAACTGCAGGACACATCTACCAGTGAGACTCATCTCCGAGTGTCTGAACTGCAGGACACATCTACCAGTGATACTCATCTCCAAGTGTCTGAACTCAAGGGCACATCCGTCAGGGAGACCTACCTACGTGTGTCTAAACTGTGATCTACCTTCGGGTGTTTGACCTCTGAGAGCTACCACCGTGTGTCTGAAATCTGAGACCTACCTCCGTGTATTTGAAATCTGAGACCTACCTTCGGGTGTTTGAAATCTGAGACCTACCTTCGGGTGTTTGAACTCTGAGACCTACCTTCGGGTGTTTGAACTCTGAGACCTACCTTCGGGTGTTTGAACTCTGAGACCTACCTTCGGGTGTTTGAACTCTGAGACCTACCTTCGGGTGTTTGAACTCTGAGACCTACCTTCGGGTGTTTGAACTCTGAGACCTACCTTCGGGTGTTTGAACTCTGAGACCTACCTTCGGGTGTTTGAACTCTGAGACCTACCTTCGGGTGTTTGACCTCTGAGACCTACCTTCGGGTGTTTGACCTCTGAGACCTACCTTCTGTTTGACCTCTGAGACCTACCTTCGGGTGTTTGAAATCTGAGACCTGAGACCTACCTTCGGGTGTTTGAAATCTGAGACCTACCTTCGGGTGTTTGAACTCTGAGACCTGCCTCCGTGTATTTGAAATCTGAGACCTACCTTCGGGTGTTTGAACTCTTGGCTACAGCGGAGACATCTACTGACGGGGTCAGGCAGGCAGCAGATGAGGCGGTCGAAGAAAGGGACCAGATACGTCGTGTCAACATCACCCAGTTGATTCATGCCTGCCGGACATCACACAATGCATAGAAATAATTCTCAAACGATCGTTTAGAGGAACCCTGAAGCAAAAGAATGTCATTTATAGCAGATCAAGAAACGGTTAAACTGGTAAGCGGTTAAAAAGTCGATTGCTTGCTTTCGGAGATTGGGTAACATATTTCCTCATCACGGTCTACACCAGTAGGTTCAGAGCTGAATCTCTGTCTGGACGTCAGAACCGGCACACTTGTCATCCCGTCTGTGAACGTGTGAATTTGCTGAAGTAAATAGACGGACCACCAAATAGCCCGGTTCCAGCGAGTAAATGATACATGTTGCCTCGATTGTCACACAGAAGTATTAATGAGGCCATTCAGCTGGAGACAACCAGGGTGCCGTTCCACTAACCGATCCTAACCCTACGCCAATCGTAAACCCCTAAAATCCCAATCTTAGCATGACGTTACGATCGGCTTACCGTTCCACTAACCAATCTTACCCAAGTCAGTCGTAAAGTTAATATCCAAAGTCTAAGGCTGCTCCTGACCAACTTCATGAACTTAGGATCGCTAAAATCAATCGTAGAGAAAACCAAAATGGTGGCTTTCATATTCTATGTGAAGAAGGAGAAGAGCGAGCATTTCACCATGAACGCCCCCTAAAACCCACATGAAATGAATTTGTTTATTTCTGTGATGTAAACAAACACAGCACTGAAGCCTTACAAATGTGAGGCCAGTCTGACCACTGTCGTCATGGGAACACAGCCGAGGGAGTCAGTGTCATACATTTGTACAACAATATTGCAACGTCATGGTTTAGAATAGGGACGGGTCATGAAGTGAACAATGTAAGATCGGGACCGGCTACGATCGGCCTAAGATCGGTTAGTGGAACGGGTGTAACATTTAGTTAAGACGATTGTAAAATTGGCGTAACTTGCTAAGATTGATCTTAGTTAAGATCGATTAGTGGAACGGCACCCAGGGCCCATGTGAGCTCTATGACGTTAACAGCTATATGCCGAACCCCAGCTCTATGACGTTCGATGCTCTATGACGTCTATAGCTCTGTGACGTTCCTAGCTGTATGACGTTCGTAACTCGATGACGTTCGTAGCTCTGTGACGTTCCTAGCGCTATGACGATGTTCCTAGCTCGATGACGTTCGTATCTTTATGACGTTAGTAGCTCTATTAAAACAGACTTGTCACACAGTCAAAGCGCTTTGTACAAGCGGACGCGTGACCTGTTCAACTGACCTGTTAGGGCGCTGACCGCGAGACCAACAATGATCACCGTCCCAGCACCGATACCTGGGTACCACAGGTATGACACTGTGTACAGGGCTGATAAACCAGTACTGAAACATTATGGATAGAACACTGTGTACAGGGCTGATAAACCAGTACTGAAACATGGATAGGACACTGTGTACAGGGCTGATAAACCAGTACTGAAATATGGATAGGACACTGTGTACAGGGCTGATAAACCAGCACTGAAACATGGATAGGACACTGTGTACAGGGCTGATAAACCAGCACTGAAACATGGATAGGACACTGTGTATAGGGCTGATAAACCAGCACTGAAACATGGATAGGACACTGTGTACAGGGCTGATAAACCAGCACACTGAAACATTACGGATTGTACACTGTGTAAGTCTTTATGAACAAGTATAACATACGAACTAATATCTCGCATTAGCCTGTGGCTGTCGAACAGAATCTGCTTCAAAGTGGATGCTGTAGTAAGCAGTAATAGCCTGTCAGTTTGTCCTCCATTCAGTTTAAAGTCACATCACTACTCGCGCTACTCACTGTTGACTGGTAGCTTCTGATGTTGTCAGTATCGTTGACGTCGTTGTCGCCACGGAGATGGTGTTGTTAGAGAAGCTACAGTTGTAGGTTGGATACTCAAGACCAGACGGTGTTCCTACAACGGTGTAAGCTCCTATAGAGATCCAGAGAGGGAACACCAATCCCAGCACACCGCCGACCACTGCTCCCTGTAGAACATAATACACCGTAGACAAGAACACCGCCGACCACTGCTCCCTGTAGAACATAATACACCGTAAACAGGAACACCGCAAACCACTGCTGCTGTAGAACACAATACACCGTAAACAGGAACACCGCCAACTACTGCTCATTGTAGAACACAATGCACCGTAAACAGGAACACCGCCAACCACTGCTGCTGTACAACATAATACACCGTAAACAGGAACACCGCCGACTACTGCTCATTGTAGAACATAATACACCGTAAACAGGAACACCGCAAACCACTGCTGCTGTAGAACACAATACACCGTAAACAGGAACACCGCCGACTACTGCTCATTGTAGAACACAATACACCGTAAACAGGAACACCTCCGACCACTGCTGCTGTACAACATAATACACCGTAAACAGGAACACCTCCGACCACTGCTGCTGTACAACATAATACACCGTAAACAGGAACACCGCCGACTACTGCTCCTTGAAGAACACAATACACCGTAAACTGCTGTAGATAATATATTTTATCTAAGAAAATTACTCTTTTAACCATACATGAAGGAAGGACTAATCTATTTACTGCACACGAGACAAGGGTGTACCTGTCATCATCTGAGCCACTGTACTTACAATCCAGTTAGCCCAGGGGAAGAAGGCGCCGAGAGCAAACATCCCGAGCAGAGGCCCCGAGGCCGCCCCGGTGAAGCTCAGTGAGGCCTGAAACATGACACACCTAATGGAAGTAAGATCAAACGTGGAGACGCCCACCAAGCATCCTGCGCTAGTCGGGGATAGAGTGAGTAAGGGCTGATACTACTTGCTGTCCGGTATCTTTATCTTTTTGAACATGCATACGTTATGCATACGTTAAAGCTTTTTCAAACAGTGATAACAGGTGTTCGCCAAGAAGATTAGCATATTCTGCCATGTCAGCCTTTCCGTGACGTGTAATCTGTCAGTACAGCAATACAGATATACAGCAATACAGCAGTACAGCAATACAGATATACAGCAATACAGCAGTACAGCAATACAGCAGTACAGCAATACAGCAGTACAGCAATACAACAGTACAGCAGTACAACAGTACAGCAATACAACAGTACATCATTACAGCAATACAACAGTACAGCAGTGAAACAGTACAGCAGTGAAACAGTACAGTAATACAACAGTACAGCAATACAACAGTACAGCAATACAACAGTACAGCAGTACAACAGTACAGCAATACAACAGTGCAGCAATACAACAGTACAGCAGTACAACAGTACAGCAGTACAACAGTACAGCAATACAACAGTACATCATTACAGCAATACAACAGTACAGCAGTGAAACAGTACAGCAATACAACAGTACATCATTACAGCAATACAACAGTACAGCAGTGAAACAGTACAGTAATACAACAGTACAGCAATACAACAGTACAGCAATACAACAGTACAGCAGTACAACAGTACAGCAATACAACAGTGCAGCAATACAACAGTACAGCAGTACAACAGTACAGCAGTACAACAGTACAGCAATACAACAGTACATCATTACAGCAATACAACAGTACAGCAGTACAGCAGTACAGCAATACAACAGTACAGAATACAGCAGTACAACAGTACAAGAGTACAGCAGTACAGAAATACAACAGTACAGCAATACAGCAATACAGCAGTACAACAATACACCATTACAGCAATACAACAGTACAGCAGTACAGCAATACAGCAGTACAACAGTACAGTAATACAACAGTACAGCAGTACAACAGTACAGTAATACAGCAGTACAGCAGTACAACAGTACAGTAATACAGCAGTACAACAGTACAGCAATACAGCAGTACAACAATACACCATTACAGCAATACAACAGTACAGCAGTACAGAAATACAACAGTACAGCAGTACAGCAATACAGCAGTACAACAGTACAGTAATACAACAGTACAGCAGTACAACAGTACAGTAATACAGCAGTACAACAGTACAGCAATACAGCAGTACAACAATACACCATTACAGCAATACAACAGTACAGCAGTACAGAAATACAACAGTACAGCAGTACAGCAATACAGCAGTACAACAGTACAGTAATACAACAGTACAGCAGTACAGCAGTTCAGAATACAGCAGTACAACAGTACAGCAATACAACAGTACAGCAGTACAGCAGTACAGTAATACAGCAGTACAACAGTACAGTAATACAACAGTACAGCAGTACAGCAGTTCAGAATACAGCAGTACAACAGTACAGCAATACAACAGTACAGCAGTACAGCAGTTCAGAATACAGCAGTACAACAGTACAACAGTACAGCAGTACAGAAATACAACAGTACAGCAATACACCATTACAGCAGTACAACAGTACAGTAATACAACAGTACAGCAGTACAGCAGTTCAGAATACAGCAGTACAACAGTACAACAGTACAGCAGTACAACAGTACAGCAGTACAGAAATACAACAGTACAGCAATACAGCAGTACAACAGTACATCAATACATCAGTACATCAGTACAGCAATACAGCGGTACAGCAATACAACAGTACAGCAATACAGCAGTATACCAGTACAACAGTACAGAAGTACAGCAATACAGGAGTACAGCAATACATCAATACAGCCGTAAAGCAGTACATCAGCACAGCAGTAAAACAGTACAGCAATACAGCAGTATACCAGTACAACACTACAGAAGTACAGCAATACAGGAGTACAGCAATACATCAATACAGCCGTAAAGCAGTACATCAGCACAGCAGTACAACAGTACAGCAATACAGCAGTATACCAGTACAACAGTACAGAAGTACAGCAATACAGGAGTACTGCAATTCAGCAGTAATACAGTACAGCAATACAACAGTACAGCAATACAGCAGTACAGCTATAAAGCAGTACAGGAGTACAACAATGCAGCAGTACATCAATACAGCAGTACAGCAGTACAGCAGTACATCAATACAGCAATGCAGCAATACAGCAATACAGCAATGCAGCAATACAGCAATACAACAGTACAGCAATACAGCAGTACATCAATACAGCAATACAGCAATACAGCAGTACAACAGTACAGCAATACAGCAATACAGCAGTACAACAGTACATCAATACAGCAATACAGCAATACAGCAGTACAACAGTACAACAGTACAGCAGTACAACAGTACAGCAGTACAGAAATACAACAGTACAGCAATACAGCAGTACAACAGTACATCAATACATCAGTACATCAGTACAGCAATACAGCGGTACAGCAATACAACAGTACAGCAATACAGCAGTATACCAGTACAACAGTACAGAAGTACAGCAATACAGGAGTACAGCAATACATCAATACAGCCGTAAAGCAGTACATCAATACAGCAATACAGCAGTACAGCAGTACAGCAGTACATCAATACAGCAATACAGCAATACAGCAATACAACAGTACATCAATACAGCAATACAGCAGTACAGCAGTACAGCAGTACATCAATACAGCAGTACAGCAATACATCAATACTACAGGACAGTAGTACAGCAATACATCAATACAACAGGACAGTAGTACAGCAACACAACAATACAGCAGTACAACAGTACAGCAATACTACAGGACAGTAGTACAGCAATACAGCAATACTACAGGACAGTAGTACAGCAATAAAGCAATACAGCAGTACAGCAGTACAACAGTACAGAAGTACAGGAATACAGCAGTACAGTGAGACAACAAGACAGCAATACAGCAGTACAGCAGAACAGCAGTACAGGAGTACATCAATACAGCGGTACAGCAATGCAGCAGTACAGGAGTACATCAATACAGCAGTACAACAGTACAGCAGCACAGCAGTACAGGAGTACATCAATACAGCAGTACAGCAGAACAGCAGTAGACCAGTACTGGAATCGGGAATACAGCAGTACAGCAATATAACAATACATTAGTACAACAGTACAACAGTACAGAAGTACAGCAATACAGGAGTACTGCAATACAGCGGTACAGCAGTACAGCAATACAAAAGTACAGCAGTACATCAATACAACAGTACAACATTACAGCAATACAACAGTTCAGCTGTACAGCAATACAAAAGTACAGCAGTACAGCATTACAGCAATACAACAGTACAGCAGTACATCAATACAACAATACAACAATACATCATTACAGCAATACAACAATACATCATTACAGCAATACAACGGTACAACAGTACAGTATTACAGCAATACAAGAGTACAGTATTACAGCAATACAAGAGTACACCAGTCCAGTAATACAGCAGTACAACAGTAAATCAGTACATTAGTACAGCAATACACGGGGCAAGAGGTTCAAGTCACACTAGAGACCTGTATCTGACATCGCTTTGATGACTGATCCATCATCTTGAAAGACCTCCCACATAGCTGACTTAACATCGTTTAAAAACTTTACTGAGGCCTTGAACTGTGTAGCTATGACTTTTGAGCAGGAGTCATATGACGTCATTTGTTATTTTTATGCTAATCTAGCTCGATTGTACTGTAAGCCTTGACTATTGCTTTATGCTGTAAGGTGACTCTTGGAAGGTGGGACCCAATCATGTTGTGGCATAGAGATGACAGCGATGAGCGTGACAAAGTTCTTAACGTGTTTCAGTGTTGGTGACAAGGCGTTACATTACATGGGATCACATTACATGGGATCACATAACATGACATCACATTACATGGGATCACATAACATGACATCACATTACATGGGATCACATAACATGACATCACATTAGAGGGATCACATCATATGATATCATACTACATTGGATCACAATACATGGGATCATATCATGTCATATGGGATCACATTGCAGGGGATCACTTTACATGGGATCACATTACATGGTTTCACATCACATGGTTTCACATCTCGTGGTTTCACCTCTCACGGGATCACATCGCATGACATCACTTTACATGGGATCACATTACATGGTTTCACATCACATGGTTTCACATTACATGGGATCACATCTCATGGTTTCCCATCACATGGGATCACATCACATGGTTTCACATCACATGGTTTCACATCTCATGGTTTCACATCTCATGGTTTCACATCTCATGGGATCACATCGCATGACAACACATTACAGGGGATCACATTACATCCCACTATGTATCCCACAGAACACATTCCCCGCCCATGTTACAGTGTCATGAGCCTCACCTGTAAAACTGTTCCACCAAGATTCTTTGCCATAAAGGCCGTTCCGATACCAGCTCCACCAAACACCAGCACTACAAGGTAAACAGGGAACACATCTTTTAAGTAAGATGAAGAAAAATGTGTGTTTTACAGTGGATAACACTGTATCAAGGACTCGGGTACGACCTGTGACACGTATATCTCACACCGAAACATGATTCAAATGTATAGCGTCCTTACAAAGAGTGATGATTTAGCTTAAATATATATTTCGCTGTAGTTTCACACGTTTGTCAATCAGTAATTATGCATTGAACTCAAATACACGTGATTTCAGAGGGGATATATTCAGATCCTACCCAAAAGTTTCGTGACAAGTGTTTTCTGTCCCTCGTTCAGTCTTTCCCCGAGGACAGGTTTCAGGAAGTCCTCCCAACACACAGCAGCCAGGGCATTCAGACACGAGGACATTGTGCTGCAAGAGTGAATGAGTGAGTGAGTATGCTTTTACGCTGCTTTTTGCAATATTCCTCCACTGGAACGGCGGGAACACCAGAAACGGTCTTCACACATTGTACCTATATGGGGAATCGAACCCGGGTCTTGAGTGTGATGAGCGAACACTTTAACCACCAGGCTACCCCACTGAGCCATGTGCTGCAATACGTACACGGTGACAAGGGCCTGCACTACAGCAGCTCTGCTCTCTGAATATAAACCAGTCAACGGCGTACCTGAGTGCTCCACTGAAAAGGCAGGAGACGAAGAGGCCGGGAAGACCTGGATAGCCCAGCACTTCCATCACGAAGTAGGGAATCAGCTGTAAGGAGGAGACAACCCTTGTTATACATCAACTGAAGGGGAGACAACCCTCGTTAAACATCAACTGAAGGGGAGACAACCCTCGTTAAACATCATCTGCAGGGGAGACAACATGTTATACATCAACTGAAGGGGAGACGACCGTTGTTATACAACACCTGAAGGGGAGACAACCCTCGTTATACATCACCTGAAGGGGAGACAACATGTTATACATCAACAGAAGGGGGCGTTGTTATGCATCAACTGAAGGGGAGACAAGCCTTATTATGCATCAACCGAAGAGGAGACAAGCGTTGTTATGCAACACCTGAAGGGGAGACAACCCTTGTTATACATCAGCTGAAGGGGAGACAATATTTAACCATACATTAACTGTAAAGGGAGACAACCTTTGCATTGCTATAATGAATCAACTGAAGAGGAGACAACCCTTGTGATACATCAAGTATAAGAGGAGACAACCCTTGTAATACATCAAGTATAAGAGGAGACAACCCTTGTGATACATCAAGTATGAGAGGAGACAACCCTTGTAATACATCAAGTATAAGAGGAGACAACCCTTGTGATACATCAAGTATAAGAGGAGACAACCCTTGTGATACATCAAGTATAAGAGGAGACAACCCTTGTAATACATCAAGTATAAGAGGAGACAACCCTTGTAATACATCAAGTATATGAGGAGACAACCCTTGTAATACATCAAGTATAAGAGGAGACAACCCTTGTAATACATCAAGTATAAGAGGAGACAATCCTTGTAATACATCAAGTATAAGAGGAGACAACCCTTGCAATACATCAAGTATAAGAGGGGACAACCCTTGTAATACATCAAGTATAAGAGGAGACAACCCTTGTAATACATCAAGTATAAGAGGAGACAATCCTTGTAATACATCAAGTATAAGAGGAGACAACCCTATAAGAGGAGACAACCCCCAAGTGATTAGAGGAGACAACCCTTACATCAAGTATAAGAGGAGACAACCCTTGTAATACATCATCAAGTATAAGAGGAGACAACCCTTGTAATACATCAAGTATAAGAGGAGACAACCCTTGTAATACATCAAGTATAAGAGGAGACAACCCTTGTAATACATCAAGTATATGAGGAGACAACCCTTGTGATACATCAAGTATAAGAGGAGACAACCCTTGTAATACATCAATAAGAGGAGACAACCCTTGTAATATCAGAGGAGGAGACAATCCTTGTAATACATCAAGTATAAGAGGAGACAACCCTTGTGATACATCAAGTATAAGAGGGACAACCCTTGTAATACATCAAGTATAAGAGGAGACAACCCTTGTAATACATCAAGTATAAGAGGGACAACCCTTGTAATACATCAAGTATAAGAGGAGACAACCCTTGTAATACATCAAGTATAAGAGGGGACAACCCTTGTAATACATCAAGTATAAGAGGAGACAACCCTTGTAATACATCAAGTATAAGAGGAGACAACCCTTGTGATACATCAAGTATATGAGGAGACAATCCTTGTAATACATCAAGTATAAGAGGAGACAATCCTTGTAATACATCAAGTATAAGAGGAGACAATCCTTGTAATACATCAAGTATAAGAGGAGACAATCCTTGTAATACATCAAGTATAAGAGGAGACAATCCTTGTTATACTTCAAGTATAAGAGGGGACAACCCTTGTGATGCATCAAGTATAAGATGAGACAACCCTTGTAATACATCAAGTATAAGAGGAGACAATCCTTGTAATACATCAAGTATAAGAGGAGACAATCCTTGTTATACATCAAGTATAAGAGGGGACAACCCTTGTGATGCATCAAATATAAGAGGGGACAACCCTTGTAATGCATCAAGTATAAGAGGAGACAACCCTTGTAATACATCAAGTATAAGAGGAGACAACACTTGTAATGCATCTAGTATAAGAGGGGACAATCCTTGTTATACATCACGTATAAGAGGAGACAATCCTTGTAATACATCAAGTATAAGAGGAGACAACCCTTGTAATACATCAAGTATAAGAGGAGACAACCCTTGTAATACATCAAGTATAAGAGGAGACAACCCTTGTCACACATCAAGTATAAGAGGAGACAACCCTTGTAATACATCAAGTATAAGAGGAGACAATCCTTGTAATACATCAAATATAAGAGGGGACAACCCTTGTAATACATCAAGTATAAGAGAAGACAACCCTTGTAATACATCAAGTATATGAGGAGACAATCCTTGTAATACATCAAGTATAAGTGGAGACAATCCTTGTCACAGAGCAACTGAAAAGGACGACAAGACTAAGTGAACGCTCATAGCGATAACGATCGGTTTATTATTAGGCCGGATAACACCAGCTCCCTGTGAGGCCCTTGAAGGTCAATCGTCACTTGACTCATCCCACCAAGTAGCTATTTTCTGTTGGATGAACAGATTACACGAGCAACACCCAGGAGTGAGGATATGCAGGTGAGAAACGTGAACATCTTACCTGGTTGGCATTGCTGATATACTTCGCCGACAGAGGATCACAACCTTTCTTTGCATAATAGGCGAATGTGGTAATTCCAGCCAGACACACCGTCGTCAGTAGCACCAGGATGCCAATAACATTCAGCATCACCGCCCTGTCAACACAGAGTGATATCACCAATAACATTCAGCATCACCGCCCTGTCAGCACAGTGATATTACCAATAACATTCAGCATCACCGCCCTGTCAGCACAGAGTGATATCACAATAACATTCAGCATCACTGCCCTGTCAGCACAGAGTGATATCACCAATAACATACAGCATCACCGCCCTGTCAGCACAGAGTGATATCACCAATAACATTCAGCATCACCGCCCTGTCAGCACAGAGTGATATCACCAATAACATTCAGCATCACCGCCCTGTCAGCACAGAGTGATATCACCAATAACACTGATCATCACTGCCCTGTCAGCACAGAGTGATATCACCAATAACATTCAGCATCACCGCCCTGTCAATATGGATCGATATCACCAATAACATTCAGCATCACCGCCCTGTCAGCACAGTGATATTACCAATAACATTCAGCATCACTGCCCTGTCAGCACAGAGTGATATCACCAATAACATTCAGCATCACCGCCCTGTCAATATGGAGCGATATCACCAATAGCATTCAGCATCACCGCCCTGTCAACACAGAGTGATATCACCAATAACATTCAGCATCACCGCCCTGTCAACACAGAGTGATATCACCTATAACATTCAGCATCACCGCCCTGTCAACATGGAGTGATATCACCAATAGTATTCAGCATCACCGCCCTGTCAACACAGAGTGATATCACCAATAACATTCAGCATCACCGCCCTGTCAGCACAGAGTGATATTACCAATAACATTCAGCATCACCGCCCTGTCAATATGGAGCGATATCACCAATAGCATTCAGCATCACCGCCCTGTCAATATGGAGCGATATCACCAATAGCATTCAGCATCACCGCCCTGTCAACACAGAGTGATATCACCAAAAACATTCAGCATCACCGCCCTGTCAGCACAGTGATATTACCAATAACATTCAGCATCAGTGCCCTGTCAGCACAGAGTGATATCACCAATAACATTCAGCATCACCGCCCTGTCAATATGGAGCGATATCACCAATAGCATTCAGCATCACCGCCCTGTCAACACAGAGTGATATCACCAATAACATTCAGCATCACCGCCCTGTCAACATGGAGTGATATCACCAATAACATTCAGCATCACCGCCCTGTCAATATGGAGCGATATCACCAATAGCATTCAGCATCACCGCCCTGTCAACACAGAGTGATATCACCTATAACATTCAGCATCACCGCCCTGTCAACATGGAGTGATATCACCAATAGTATTCAGCATCACCGCCCTGTCAACACAGAGTGATATCACCAATAACATTCAGCATCACCGCCCTGTCAGCACAGAGTGATATTACCAATAACATTCAGCATCACCGCCCTGTCAATATGGAGCGATATCACCAATAGCATTCAGCATCACCGCCCTGTCAATATGGAGCGATATCACCAATAGCATTCAGCATCACCGCCCTGTCAATATGGAGCGATATCACCAATAACATTCAGCATCACCGCCCTGTCAATATGGAGCGATATCACCAATAACATTTAGCATCACCGCCCTGACAGCACAGAGTGATATTACCAATAACATTCACCATCATCGCCCTGTCAATATGGAGCGATATCACCAATAGCATTCAGCATCACCGCCCTGTCAATATGGAGCGATATCACCAATAACATTCAGCATCACCGCCCTGTCAGCACAGAGTGATATCACCAATAACATTCAGCATCACCGCCCTGTCAACACAGAGTGATATCACCAATAGCATTCACCATTACCGCCCTGTCAACATAGAGTGATATTACCAATAACATTCAGCAACACCGACCTGTCAACACTGAGTGATTTTACAAATAACATTTAGCATCACCGCCCTGTCAGCACAGAGTGATATCACGAATAACATTCAGCATCATCGCCCTGTCAGCACAGAGTGATATCACCAATAACATTCAGCATCACCGCCCTGTCAGCACAGAGTGATATCACCAATAACATTCACCATCACCGCCCTGTCAGCACAGAGTGACATCACCAATAACATTCAGCATCACTGCCCTGTCAATATGGAGCGATATCACCAATAACATTCAGCTGCTCGTCGTTAGGCAAATACATACTGCTATCAAGGTCAGTGACCGTGTACTGCTGATATTTGCCATAACTGTATCCGTTTTACCTATGATGGTTAACGGTGAAGATCCAGATTAGAATTGATATTCAGTAACCCATACCTGTGGTAAGAGGCGACTAACGGGATGGTCAAGTCAAAGTCAAAGATGTTTGTTGTACAAAGGCCACCGGCCAATATACATTGGAGTTATACGTTATACATTATACATATGGTGCAATAAGTACTAATTGGTGATCCAAACAGCAAACCATGTTACAGGCAGCTAATTATGTACAAGTAGTGAAATACGATGGGTCTTCCAAACTTTATATCAGGTTGTTACGCTTAATAAGAGCATACTTGATATTGTACGGCAGCCTTATTATTACATTCAGTTGATGAAAGAAGTAGTTTTAAAGCTAATGAAGGTGGCTTACATAGATAATATTCAGCTATGCGTTTCGTACGCAAATCTTTATAGAAAGGACATTCAAGTAAAAGTGAATTTCATTTTCCACATCTATATTACACAGAGGGCACATTCTCTTGCATCTTTCAATATGAAAACGTCTTCCTTCGTTTACCACTATGTTGATCAAACCTGACGTAAAACGTACAGATGGATATCTTAATTTCTTTGATGTTAAAAGATATTTCTTCGGTTGGAGTAATGATTTGTATATTCTATAAGAGTCGTACCGTGAACTATTATCTATTACTGAACGCCATTCTTGATTATACATATTAAGACTTCTTTCTCGAAACTGAGTTAAAAACAAACTTGCATCACCAACTGACTGGCTTAACCATACAAAACCATCACCACGTGAAAACAGAAGTTTTCTTACATAAGATGCCAACGTCACTTTGCCAGTGTTATTTACAGACCGCCGCCATATAGCTGGAATATTGCTGGGTGCGGCGTAAAAGTAAACTCACTCTCTCACCCATGATAGCTATTACTTACAGTTTGGCCTTCTGTAGTGTCGGTAGTGCACAGTAGCGCTGGACGCTGGCCTGGTTGACCCCATAGAAGGATGACCAGCCAATCATTGTGCCGATAGTGAGAGACCAGAAGGAATGGCGGACAGTCGGATCAGGGTTGAAGCTTGAAAATATACACAAAGATCTTAGTTAAGCACCCCCTGACATATCTCACGATTGAATGAGCCCCGACTGCAACCCTTTGGAGCATATATAGGACATGATTGGTCGTCGTGTGCAACAAAGGGATCCTCCTGTACAGAACCTGCCCCAACTGGAAGCTGCTTTACACGAGCAATGGCGTAAACTGCCCCTTCCGAGGATCAGGAGGCTGACAGGGGGTATGAGGAGGAGAGTGCAGGCTGTCAAACAGGCACATGGAGGATACACTGGGTATTGACCTTGAATCGTGTAAGACATACAAAATGACATTTTGAATGTTCATATTCACCAATAAATGAATTTGTATGAAAATCTTTTCTTTTTTTTAAATGGGCAGTTATCACCATGAAATCAACATGGATTCCAAACATTTTGTCGTTTCAAAGGCTTACACGGGTCAGAAAAAAACAATGTTTTTGTTCCATCGTGGTGACCACGTGAAGTTTTACGTTCGTGTTGAAAACCTATCATTACCAAAATAAGGGTATTGCTAAATTAAGTTTGTTGTGCATATAACCAAATGACATGTATTTCTAGAATTGACGACTTCTTTATTGCGACAGACGCAACGTTTCGGTGTAGATGCTAACATCGTTATCAAGAAAGTTATCGTTACTTGCGTGATAGCAATGTTTGCATGTACCCCGAACGCTGCCACGGAGGCACACGGTAACAAATGGTGACATGGTATATATTTTACAGACTTACTCAAAGAATTCTATTCGGCCCCACTCTTGGTTCAGTTTCCACACCTCGTCAATTCCACCAACAACAGAGATCCCCTGTAAGAAGGACGATAAAACCACGTGTACAAGAACCAATCAGTTTTAACACACAAGTATGTTCACAAGGACGACAAAACCACGTGTACAAGAACCAATCAGATTTAACACACGAGTATGTTCACAAGGACGACAAAACCACGTGTACAAGAACCAATCAGATTTAACACACGAGTATGTTCACAAGGACGACAAAACCACGTGTACAAGAACCAATCAGATTTAACACACGAGTATGTTCACAAGGACGACAAAACCACGTGTACAAGAACCAATCAGATTTAACACACGAGTATGTTCACAAGGACGACAAAACCACGTGTACAAGAACCAATCAGATTTAACACACGAGTATGTTCACAAGGACGACAAAACCACGTGTACAAGAACCAATCAGTTTTAACACACGAGTATGTTCACAAGGACGACAAAACCACGTGTACAAGAACCAATCAGTTTTAACACACGAGTATGTTCACAAGGACGACAAAACCACGTGTACAAGAACCAATCAGTTTTAACACACGAGTATGTTCACAAGGACGATAAAACCACGTGTACAAGAACCAATCAGTTTTAACACACGAGTATGTTCACAAGGACGACAAAACCACGTGTACAAGAACCAATCAGTTTTAACACACGAGTATGTTCACAAGGACGACAAAACCACGTGTACAAGAACCAATCAGATTTAACACACGAGTATGTTCACATGACATATTCTACGGATTCAAAACCACATTTAAACTATAGTATGACCAGAAATTATTGAGAATTTTAGGAATATGTTTAATAGGATTTCTAGTATAAACAACCTTGACCAGCTATCAAGTGCTTGGTTTCATTCAAGAGAGACAACTCCGTTAATACTTTTTTGTGGAGAGTTATTCCCCTTCGTTTACTTGCTAGCAGACAACGTTTTCAGTGATCCTCAGTATGGATGATTTAGAAAAGGGGAAGTTGATTTTAGAATATTATAACAAGGACATCAGATCAGCTAAAGTGATTTTAAGTAGAACAGGCATCCTTTGGCCACTGTTTATCGTGTTTGAAAAATATAGCAAATGGATAAGGCATTGAGCACCAGGGAGGCACCAGGTAGGCCCAGGAATTGACTGTCGGTGACAGGAGGCGGCTTGGTATTCTTGTTTCTAAAAACAAACGAAGGAGTTAAGAAAACTTAAGGCTGGATATGATTGATAGAGGAACTGTGGCTGTCTGTAAGGAGACAATTAGAACTGAGCTGCATGCAATGAGTTTGCAGAAAAGTCGAGGAATTCCATCGCCGATCATGAAACCTGAACAAAAGGAGCGAAGGTTGAACTGGTGCTTACAGTATAGAACTTGTAACTGGGACAATGCGATTTTCTCAGATGAAAGTTCTCTGTGGCTGTGTCCTAATACACTAAAATTCTGGGCCACACAAACTGAAAAACCGTTATATAAGCGCCCACAGTACAGTCCGAAATTTAACGTTTGGGGTGGCATATCTGTATTAGGGGCAGCGCCGGTGTGTGTATTTGAAGGGAATATGAACAATGAGCGGTACACAGATATTCTCGAGGAACATTTACTTCCATCTGCTCACGTGTTCTATAGAATTTTTTTTTTTGATTTTCCAGCAGGACAACGACCCAAAACATCGTTCAAAGCATTCACAGGTCTGGTTTCGAACCCCAAAATATGACATTATTAGATTGGCCAAGTTATAGCCCTGACTTAAATCCATTTGAAAATTTTTGTGGACTTATGAAGGAAAGTGTCAATAAGAAAAATCTGACAAATATTGCTGAAATGAAAGAAGAGGTGGTCCGATATCGGGACAGCATGGATCACGACTTTCTAACTTCTTTGATCAGTAGTATGCCCCGCCGCTTTAAAGCCTGCATTGCTGCCCATGGTGACTTGACAAAATACTAACTGTTCACCTGTCTTTGAATCTGGAGTTATGTTCTGCTAATATTCACATTTAATACGTGAGTAATGAGTGAAAAAAACAAAGGTCGGCTGTCCTCACAGACCATTTGAAATCGGTTGCGGGCTGCCAATCTCTATTCTCGAGGTCCATATCGTGGGTCAATATTGACGCCGTTTCAACAACGTCAACGTCTGCTGTGGGCCCAACGTCACCTCCTATGGACCCAGAGAGACTGGAATCGAGTCGTTTTCAGCGATGAATCCAGGTTTACCCTCAGATTCGCGGACGGCAGGCATAGAGTCTGGAGACGACGTCGTTAACGGTAAGCCCAATGTTGTGTACAGGAAGTCGACAGATTCGGGGGCGGAAGTTGCATGGTGTAGGGTGCTTTCTGTGGGAACAACCGTTCCCGACTTCTGGTCATCCGTGGAAACCTCACAGCTGCTGCTTACCGCAACCAGGTGCTCACCCCTGAACTCGTTCCTTTCATGGCGGCTTAATCCAATAGAGCATGTTTGGGATGCACTTGGGAGAAGGCTTCGTGGTCATAGGAACCAACCTCAGAATTTGCAGCAACTTGGCGTTGCCTTGCAAGAGTAATTGTGCAGAATCCCCAACCACGTGTTCACAGGCATCAGGCAGTCGATGAGGAGACGGTGTTTGGCAGTGGTGAATGCGCGGGGCGGCCATACACGATATTGAACTGAGAAATTTCGCATTTTTATTCTTGTGACTTGACATTCTGTATACCCATGTTTTGGAACGGCGGTGTAGCCTAATGGAACTGATTATGGCACTGTCAGTGTATCGAGTACATCACACAGATCTCAGCAATGAAATAATAACAATTTAACCATCTTACCATCTCTTGTTCTTTTATAGTGCCCTGAAGAAAGAATGTGAAGTTTCTTTTTTGACTCAGTATAGATATTACTAAACCTGCAAATTATATTAGCCAACGCCTATTGTAAACCAAAAATCACTGTGTTCTCTAATCTGATTGGTTGAAAAACGTGATTGGATTGAATTGCAACGTGATCAGATAATGGTATTCGATTCCCTTCGACCATAGCACTGCAAGACTTTTCACTGCGTATAAAGATGATGTACAGATAATCAAAACAACACTTTTCGCTTCGACCATTTTCAACAGCACTGAAAATTTGGACTTTCCAAATTTCAATGCATGATAAAGGGGCATGATAAAGGGGCTGATTAAAGGGGCTGCGTGAAAAGGGCATGATAAAGGGCTGCATGATAAAAGGGGGCTCCATGGGGCTGTGATGAGGGCTGGGCTGCGTGATAAAGGGCTGCATAGATGATGAACATCCTGCAATAACTAATGCAGGATGAATAAAGGGGCTTGATAAAGGGGCTTTTAAAGTTGATGAAGGGCTGCTTGAAAAGGGGATTGCATGATAAAGGGGCTCCAAACATAAAGGGGCTGCGTGATAGATCTGCGTGAAAATAGATGGTAACATGATAAAGGGGCTCATACTTTAAAGGGGCTGTACTCCCGATAAAGGCTCGATAAAGGGGCTGCATGATAAAGGGGCTGCATGATAAAGGGGCTGCATGATAAAGGGGCTCCATGATAAAGGGGCTGCGTGATAAAGGGGCTGCATGATAAAGGGGCTGCATGATAAAGGGGCTGCATGATAAAGGGGCTGCATGATAAAGGGGCTGCATGATAAAGGGGCTGCGTGATAAAGGGGCTGCATGATAAAGGGGCTGCATGATAAAGGGGCTGCATGATAAAGGGGCTGATAAAGATAAAAGGCTGCATGATGATAAAGGGGCTGCGTGATATAAAGGCTGCATGATAAAGGGGTTGCATGATAAAGGGCTGCATGATAAAGGGGCTGCAAAGGGCTGATAAAAGCGTGATAAAGGGGCTGCATGATAAAGGGGCTGCATGATAAAAGGGCTCCATGATAAAGGGGCTCCATGATAAAAGGGGCTCCATGATAAAGGGGCTGCGTGATAAAGGGGCTGCGTGATAAAGGGGCTCCATGATTGACGGGTGTCACTGATATTGCTGTTATACATTGCTGTCACATATTTTGCCTTATGATTGATCTAGCAGTCAGTGTATGATGATTGACTACGCCACACCTTACCTTCGTATCGGTATAAACGAAAACAATGCTAAATTCAATGGTTAGGTGGGTAAATTACGAAAACGCCTGAGAACCATTCACCATCATAGTATCCATTACAACGTATTGTGGTGAGGCTCTTTATCTAGGTTTCAAATAAGTTATACTAATCTAGGAACGTTTGACTTTCACCAAGTATTTCTTAATAATCAAAATAAGAACGTTACGTAGTAAAATGATTGGAGACATTGCATTTGATCGAGTGGACCTGCGGAAGCCTCTACTGAAAGCAGGAGCGGATTTGGATCTACTGAGTAGAGCAATTATGGTGACAGTCTTGTGTGGCGGTCTTTAGCCAGAAAAGACAAGGTCACATTGCCAGCCAACCCGTTACAAAGTACTTGTTCCATTGTCGAGCTATTACACTTTTGGATTGCCCAAAATTGACGGTACTGGTCTCATCGTCGAGCTATTAGATGTTTGGATTGCCAAACATTGCCGGTCCCAAAGTCGAGCTGTTAGACGTTAGGATTGCCAAACATTGCCGGTCCCAAAGTCGAGCTGTTAGACGTTAGGATTGCCAAACATTGCCGGTACCAAAGTCGAGCTGTTAGACGTTGGGATTGCCAAACATTGCCGGTCCCAAAGTCGAGCTGTTAGACGTTAGGATTGCCAAACATTCAGAGTACTTTGGATACGGATCATTGTGCCTCATCTATTTATCTACTGAAGTGTGTGCATGAAACGGCCCATGTTGGCAAGGTGCAAAATGAACTCTGAGTAAGTAATAATACGTGCTCTAGCCCCATGATCTGTGATTGGGCGAGAGTTTGTAGTACTACGATATGACATACATATTGTGTAGGTTATCTATAACACAGAATCATTCTGTCGTATAAAACTGACCAAACAATACAATGATCATACTTACTCTAATGACAACAGCTAGTACTCCGGCAAGCATCACCACCGACTGAAATACATCCGTCCACACGACTGCTTTCATTCCACCCTAAAACAGAATACAAACACAATAACATATACATGTTCACATTCGCTTATGCGTCACCCTCCTGTTAATCATTGAGTATCTTTTTTCAGCCAGTATCATTACAAAAGCACAATGGTATATTATATGTTCATCGCCTTGTACACACATATCCCACCTGGCAGTGGGTCAGTGTACAAACAAGGTCGCACAATACTCCTCCCCACAAAAGGAGACTTGACTGATCCCAAAAACTTCCGCCCTATCACATGTTTGAACACTCAATATAAAATCTTCACAGGGTTTTTGACAAACCTCGTGTCTGCTCTTCCAATGATATAATTTACAGAGAGCAGAAGGGGGCAAGAAAGGGATGTTGGGGGTGCAAGGATCAACTTCTTGCACAGAAAATGATTTTGGAAGAGGCTAAAGCATATCACCGCAACCTCTACATGTGCTGGATTGACTACAAAAAAGCATACGACTCTGTTCCTCACGAATGGATTCTGAAGTCTCTTCGTTGCAATGAGCGACTACTTGATTTACTCGAGTCTTTAATGAGTTGCTGGTGGACTCAACTTGAGATGTACTCGCAAGGGCAGGTGCAGACTTCGGAACCTATTCCAATCAGAAGTGAACTATCCTTTGAGCTTTCTGCTGAACAGAGGGGATGGTTACCATCCCGGACCTCATCAGCACAGATCCCCAACACCTCTTACTCATCTCCTTTACATGGATGACATCGAGCTCCTTGCCAAAGGAGATACCAATTTGAAAGAGCAGGTTCTCCTTGTCGAGTCCTTTTCTAGTGATATTGGCATGACATTCGGACTCGACTAATGTAATATTTTTCATTTGAACCGTGGCAAGGTAGTTAATGGTGGATCTGTCAGGCTACAAGGGGGAGGAGTTATTGAGCATCTTGTGGAAGATCAGGCCTACACCAATCTTGGAATGCAAGTTCGAGAATGCCCAGAATAAAAAAGAAACTTCGGGCCGAGTATGAAGCTCGCTTAAAGAAAATCTGGAGCTCAGAGCTAAATTCTCGAAACAAGGTGAAGCCACCAATACGTTTGCTGTGCCAGTCCTGTCCTATTCCTTTGGGGTAGTTGATTGGGCTCATTGTCCAGAGGGTCATGGAAAATATTGCTTTCAAACTTCCTTGGAATAGGCCCGTGTACAGCCTCAGAAGAATTCCTGCCCACAACCTGATCTTGTCCTTTTTGATAAAGCCAGTGAAGTTATTTATGTCATTGAATTTTCTGTCCCTTTGGACAGCAATGTGATTAGCAAAATTCAGGAAAAGCATATTAAATATGCGGACCCCGCCTTTGAAATGTCTCGCTAGCATCCCAAGTACACTGTCGTCAGGCTCCCCATTGTTCTCGGTGCTCTAGGTTTGGTACCTCCTGATCTCTTGGCGCAGATCAGCAGAGTGTCCTGGTTCTCCACCGGGAGCACAGCCCTTCTGACACTCTGGGTAATGCAGAAGGCTGCAGTGTTGGGGAGCCTTCATATTCTCTTGACTTGGTGGGTTCGACTAGGCAGCGTTTCCTGGGAGAATTCGCTGCCTGGGCTGCGTGTAGAGGGGACAAGGGCCCTGAGCTGATGACGAGCCTTACCAGCCTGACTGTGCCAGGATCCACAGAACCCTCCATGGTGAGTACTATCATTCATCTGTAAAACATGACTTTATCCCACCGGGTACCCATTTTCTGCCGGGTGAACAGAGGCAATTTTGAACAAACTCACTTGCTTAAGGTGAGACCACATGTATCAAACATGCTTCGTTGTTGGGCAGGACTGAAGTCCTAGAAACTCTCAGGAGTCAAGCTGCCAAACATGGTCACCCATCCAAGGACTGTCCGACCTCGACATTGCTTAACTTCAACTGATTCGTGACCTGAGCTTTGTACATAGCGGCTGAGGTTGTTACAACCGGAAACCAGTTTATCGGTTATCCCGAGATTTGTCAACCACTGGCATTCCCGAGTTGACTGTCAACCATTGTGCTAAAAGGCCGTAGCAAAGCTGTTAAATTGTGTTTTGGATAAATATCTGGTGACATTTGAAAATCAGACGCGTTCATCACAAAGTTTCCGATAATGCAATTTCCTATTTTGACTTACACCACCTGTGGCGGCGTGTTTCGTGTAATAATTGCCTTGGCTTTGCATGCGTTTGTGGCGGTTACTTTTTGATAAACACATGTGATACAACTTGACTCGAACTTTATCTCTGATTCCGTTACAGAGATGTCTTTGATTATAGAAATGATTCTGCAAATCTATTTAACAGAGCATATTGACAGAGCATATTTAACACACCAGCGAGGTATAGAACGTTGACACGAGGCCAACAGTGACGATGCTGGCCCATGTTGGAAATCCAGTCACTGAAAAGAGAAAATACTTCAGAAGTTTAAAATAGCATGAATTATATGCTGTCAAATTGTAGTTTATAAACAGTTATCATCTTTAAGTTTACTGTTGTACAAAACAACCTTAGCACTGAGACTGACTTAAGTCTATGTAAAGGTATGGGAGTTACTGTCACCATAGCGCTAAGACTGCCTTAAGTCTATGATAAGGTATGGGAGTTACTGTCACCTTAGCACTGAGACTACCTGAAGCCTATGTTAAGGTATGGGAGTTACTGTCACCTTAGCGCTAAGCCTACCTTAAGTCTATGTTAAGGTATGGGAGTTACTGTCACCTTAGCGCTAAGACTACCTGAAGTTTATGTTAAGGTATGGGAGTTACTGTCACCTTAGCACTGAGACTTCCTGAAGCCTATGTTAAGGTATGGGAGTTACTGTCACCTTAGCACTGAGACTTCCTGAAGCCTATGTTAAGGTAGGGGAGTTACTGTCACCTTAGCGCTAAGACTACCTTAAGTCTATGTTAAGGTATGGGAGTTACTGTCACCTTAGCGCTAAGACTACCTTAAGTCTATATTAAGGTATGGGAGTTACTGTCACCTTAGCGCTAAGACTACCTTAAGTCTATGTTAAGGTATGGGAGTTACTGTCACCTTAGCGCTAAGACTTCCTTAAGTCTATGTTAAGGTATGGGAGTTACTGTCACCTTAGCGCTAAGATTTCCTTAGGTCTATGTTAAGGTATGGGAGTTACTGTCACCTTAGCGCTAAGACTTCCTTAAGTCTATATTAAGGTATGGGAGTTACTGTCACCTTAGCGCTAAGACTACCTTAAGTCTATGTTAAGGTATGGGAGTTACTGTCACCTTAGCGCTTAGACTTCCTTAAGTCTATGTTAAGGTATGGGAGTTACTGTCACCTTAGCGCTAAGATTTCCTTAGGTCTATGTTAAGGTATGGGAGTTACTGTCACCTTAGCGCTAAGACTTCCTTAAGTCTATGTTAAGGTATGGGAGTTACTGTCACCTTAGCGCTAAGACTACCTTAAGTCTATGTTAAGGTATGGGAGTTACTGTCACCATAGCACTGAGACTACCTTAAGCCTATGTTAAGGTATGGGAGTTACTGTCACCTTAGCGCTAAGACTACCTTAAGTCTATGTTAAGGTATGGGAGTTATTGTCACCTTAGCGCTAAGACTACCTTAAGTCTATGTTAAGGTATGGGAGTTACTGTAACCTTAGCACTAAGACTACCTTAAGTCTATGTTGAGGTATGGGAGTTACGGTCACCTTAGCACTAAGACTACCTTAAGTCTATGTTGAGGTATGGGAGTTACTGTCACCTTAGCACTCAGACTACCTTAAGTTTATGTTAAGGTATGGGGGTTACTGTCACCTTAGGGCTAAGACTACCTAAGTCTTTGCAAAGGTATGGGAGTTACTGTCACCTTAGCGCTAAGACTGACCTAAGTCTATGTTAAGGTGTGGGAGTTACTGTCACCTTAGCGCTAAGACTACCTTAAGTCAATGTTAAGGTATGGGAGTTACTGTCACCTTAGCGATAAGGATCGTGTGCACAACGGCACCCTGATTGGTTGCACGGATGCCACTGTGGTTCACACGGTGGTCAAATAGGGACGAAAGTATGATCGAATAAATGAGAATTGAACCTGGTTCATTTCAACACTTTAATTTTTGGTATGATGTTAAAACAGGGTGAGTGTGGATGTCACTGCTTCTGGGAATGGCTGTTATCATATAATGATTGACCTAGTGATTGAGAATGGAAGACGTCTCAAACTTGACCGCAAAGATCGTCTCTGCCCATTCTGTGTTAGACCTACTATTGATTCTGAACTACACTTCTGTCTTGAATGTCCATTTTATCACGACCTGCGATCAGATCTCTTGCAAGGATTGTGTTATGTCTTTCCATCTTGCAACAAACCTATCTCATTTTCAACATAAAAAACACCCCAATCTTGCTAAATATATTTTTTTAGCTCAGAAGAAACGAACAAATGTTTTCCATCATGTTGATGCTATTAATAACCATGACACCTGCATATGTGAATGGCGTGGCGCTTCGTCAACGTAATGTAGCAATAATTTACATGTATAATTGGCCGGTGGCCCCTTTATCGGAATAAAGTCTCTCCCTATGACAGCGGAATATTATGATGGTTATGAGATGTTCATGTAACAGAATGAACAACGTACATGGCGTACATCACGAGTCGCGGACTAGCGTGATTTCATTTACATTTCTATTGTTTAACGCCGTGCTCAGCTGAATGGCGACGATCTGTAAATAATCCATGCTGGACCAGACAATTCAGTGGGTGAATTAGTTCAGATTAGGCAAGGGGCGGTGGGGGAGCCTAGTGGTTAAGCGTTCGCTCGTCACGCTGAGAACCCGGGTTCGATTCCCCACATGGGTACAATGTGTGAAACCTATTCCCGGTGTCCCAGCGGCGATATTGCTGGAATATTGCTAAAAGCTGTGTAAAACTAAACTCACTCATTCACTCACTCAGTTTAGGCAAACAAATTGTAAGGGCGTTCCTTTTCAACATTAGATTTAATTCAATGATTCATATCACAAACCACTCATACCATACGCATACACGCATGTGCCATGCTGTGAAAATATACAGTTAACACAAATATTTCGATTGAAAAACAAAATGAGTGTGAAATGATGTAATATTACCTTTCAGTCTTCAAAGAATTTTCAGCCCCCGATGCTAAGTATTCTATACGCTATCGTCTAATGTCTTACAACGCGGATCAGGACCTACGGGGCATCCAACATGTAATGTGATAGTGAAGCTTCTAGACTTAATCAGAAGAAACATATTCATACCTGCTTCTAACGCTGTGGACGGGGCGAAGGAGGCGATGCCCATGTACAGTACCTGTAATGAAGATTAGCGCGTTTGTGTAGACAACACAAGTTGGAGGACAGCGATATCATATTTATGACAACCGATCTCTTTACTCTACTGAAAACACAGTGACCCTGTGACCCCTATTTACACAAACAGATTGGAAACACGCCACGAGCGCATGCACTGCATGACAGGTGGGTCAGACAGTGGTGTATTCAGTAACAGAGCTGAGAGTGCATGCATTGACATGACAGGTGACATAGACAGTGGTGTATTCAGTAACAGAGCTGAGAGTGCATGCATTGACATGGTAGGTGGGTCAGACAGTGGTGTATTCAGTAACAGAGCTGACAGGGCATGCACTGACACGACAGGTGACACAGACAGTGGTGTATTCAGTAACAGAGCTGAGAGTGCATGCATTGACATGACAGGTGACACAGACAGTGGTGTATTCAGTAACAGAGCTGGGAGTGCATGCATTGACATGGTAGGTGGGTCAGACAGTGGTGTATTCAGTAACAGAGCTGACAGGGCATGCACTGACACGACAGGTGACACAGACCGTGGTGTATTCAGTAACAGAGCTGAGAGTGCATGCATTGACATGGTAGGTGGGTCAGACAGTGGTGTATTCAGTAACAGAGCTGAGAGGGCATGCACTGACACGACAGGTGACACAGACCATGGTGTATTCAGTAACAGAGCAGAGAGTGCATGCATTGACATGGTAGGTGACACAGACAGTGGTGCATTCAGTAACAGAGTTGAGAGTGCATGCATTGACATGGTAGGTCACACAGACAGTGGTGTATTCAGTAACAGAGTTTAGAGTGCATGCACTGACATGGTAGGTGACACAGACAGTGGTGTATTCAGTAACAGAGCTGAGAGTGCAGGCATTGACATGGTAGGTTCCACAGACAGTAGTGTATTCAGTAACGGAGCTGAGAGTGCATGCACTGACATGGTAAGTCACACAGACAGTAGTGTATTCAGTAACAGAGCTGAGAGTGCATGTGCTGACATGATAGGTGACACAGACTGTAGTGTATTCAGCAACAGAGCTGAGAGTGCATGCATTGAAATGGTAGGTGACACAGACAGTAGTGTATTCAGTAACAGAGCTGAGTGCATGCACTGACATGGTAGGTGACACAGACAGTGGTGTATTCAGTAACAGCGCTGAGAGTGCATGCACTGACATGGTAGGTGACACAGACAGTGGTGTATTCAGTAACAGAGATGAGAGTGCATGCACTGACATGGTAGGTGACACAGGCAGTGGTGTATTCAGTAACAGAGCTGATAGTGCATGCACTGACATGGTAGGTGACACAGACAGTGGTGTATTCAGTAACAGAGATGAGAGTGCATGCACTGACATGGTAGGTGACACAGACAGTGGTGTATTCAGTAACAGAGCTGAGTGCATGCACTGACATGGTAGGTGACACAGACAGTGGTGTATTCAGTAACAGAGCATGAGACATGATAGTGCATGTACTGACACGGTAGGTGACACAGACAGTGGTGTATTCAGTAACAGAGATGAGAGTGCATGCACTGACATGGTAGGTGACACAGACAGTGGTGTATTCAGTAACAGAGCTGAGAGTGCATGTACTGACATGGTAGGTGACACAGACAGTGGTGTATTCAGTAACAGAGCTGATAGTGCATGCACTGACATGGTAGGTGACACAGACAGTGGTGTATTCAGTAACAGAGCTGAGAGTGCACAGTACCGTAACTGACATGATAGGTGACACAAACAATGGTGTATTCAGTAACAGAGCTGAGAGTGCATGCACTGACATGGTAGGTGACACAGACAGTGGTGTATTCAGTAACAGAGATGAGAGTGCATGCACTGACATGGTAGGTGACACAGACAGTGGTGTATTCAGTAACAGAGCTGAGAGTGCATGCACTGACATGGTACGTGACACAGACCGTGGTGTATTCAGCAACAGAGCTGAGAGTGCATGCATTGAAATGGTAGGTGACACAGACAGTAATGTATTCAGTAACAGAGCTGAGAGTGCATGCACTGACATGGTAAGTGACACAGACAGTGGTGTATTCAGTAACAGAGCAGAGAGTGCATGCATTGACATGATAGGTGACACAGACAATGGTGTATTCAGTAACAGAGCTGAAAGTGCATGCACTGACATCGTAGGTGACACAGACAGTAGTGTATTCAGTAACAGAGCTGAGAGTGCATGCATTGACATGGTAGGTGACACAGTCAGTGGTGTATTCAGTAACAGAGTTGAGAGTGCATGCACTGACATGATAGGTGACACAGACAGTGGTGTATTCAGTAACAGAGCTGAGAGTGCATGCATTGAAATGGTAGCTGACACAGACAGTAGTGTATTCAGTAACAGAGCTGAGAGTGCATGCACTGACATGGTAAGTTACACAGACAGTAGTGTATCAGTAACAGAGATGAAAGTGCATGCACTGACATGGTAGGTGACACAGACAGTGGTGTATTCAGTAACAGAGCTGAGTGCATGCACTGACATGATAGGTGACACAGACAGTGGTGTATTCAGTAACAGAGATGAGAGTGCATGTACTCACATGGTAGGTGACACAGACAGTGGTGTATTCAGTAACAGAGCTGAGAGTGCATGCATTGACATGGTAGCTGACACAGACAGTAGTGTATTCAGCAACAGAGCTGAGAGTGCATGCAATGACATGGTAGGTGACACAGACAGTGGTGTATTCAGTAACGGAGTTGAGAGTGCATGCATTGACATGGTAGGTGACACAGACAGTGGTGTATTCAGTAACAGAGTTGAGAGTGCATGCATTGACATGGTAGGTGACACAGCCAGTTATGTATTCAGTAACAGAGTTGAGAGTGCATGCACTGACATGGTAGGTGACACAGACAGTGGTGTATTCATTAACGGAGCTGAGAGTGCATGCACTGACATGGTAGGTGACACAGACAGTGGTGTATTCAGTAACAGAGCAGAGATTGCATGCACTGACAAGGTAAGTTGACACAGACAGTGGTGTATTCAGCAACAGAGCTGAGAGTGCATGCATTGAAATGGTAGGTGACACAGACAGTGGTGTATTCAGTAACAGAGCTGAGAGTGCATGCACTGACGATACACAGAGTTACAACAGACAGTATGTGTATTCAGTAACAGAGCTGAGACAACAGAGCCAGACATGCGCACTGACATGGACCAGTAGGTGACACAGACAACGGTGGTGATATTCAGTAACATAGCTGATAGAACATGCACTGACATGGTAGGTGACACAGACAGTGGTGTAGTTAGTAACAGAGCTGAGAGTGCATGCACTGATGACATGGTAGGTGACACAAAACAATGGTGTATTCAGTAACAGGAGATGAGAGTGCATGCACTGACATGAGTAATTGACACAGACAGTAGTGTAGTCAGTAACAGAGGCTGAGAGCATGCACGCACTGACATGGTAGGTGAAGGCACAGACAGTGGTGTATTCATTAACATGGCTGACCGGCGACATGCACTGACATGGTAGGTGACACAGACAGTGGTGTATTCAGTAACAGAGCTGATAAGACATGCACTGACATGGTGCAATGGACACAGACAGTGGTACATTCAGTAACAGAGCTGACAGGCATGACATGGTAGGTTCACGTGCAGTAGTATTCAGGAGCTGAGAGTGCATGCACTGACATGGTAGTCACACGAACAGAAGTGCATGCACACAGACAGAGCTGAAAATGCGTAATGAGCTGACAGTGATTAGCAGGCTGACAGTGCATGACTGGCTGGTAGGTGACACAGACAGTGAATTGTATTCAGCAACAGGAAGGCTGAGAGGGCATGCACTGACATGAGTAGGTGACACAGACAGTAGTGTATTCAGTAACAGGGCATGAGTGCATGCACTGACACAGGTAGTGGATTACAGACAGTAGATGTATTCGGTAGACAGAGAGTGCTGAGTGCATGCACTGACATGGTAGGTGACACAGACGGTAGTGTATTCGGTAACAGAGCAGAGATAAATGAGGACAAGACAGGTGCACAGACATGGTGTATTCGGTGACAGGCTGAGGTGCATGCATTGAAATGGTGTATTGACACAACAGAGCGTTGTATTCAGGACAACACACTGACATGCTGAGCTGGAAGTGACACAGACAGTAGGTGTATTCAGTAACAGAGCTGAGAGGGCATGCACTGACATGGTAGGTGACTTACACGAACAGTGGGTGTATTCAATGTAACAGAGCTGAGAGTGCATGCATTGACATGGTAGGTGACACAGACAGTAGTGTAGTCAGTAACAGAGCTGATAGTGCATGTACTGACATGGTAGGTGACACAGACAGTGGTGTATTCAGTAACAGATGAGAGGAGATGCACGGACACTCATGTGGGTGACACAGACAGTGGTGTATTCAGTAACAGAGATGAGGCATGCACCTGACATGGTAGGTGACACAGACAGTGGTGTATTCAGTAACAGAGCTGATAGAACATGTACTGACACATGGTAGGTGACACAGACAGTGGTGTATTTAGTAACAGAGCTGATAGTGCATACTGACATATATTAGGTGACACCAACAATGGTGTATTCAGTAACAGAGATGAGAGTGCATGCACTGACATGAGCTAAGTGACACAGACAGTAGTAATATTCAGTAACAGAGCTGGTGCATGCACTGACATGGTAGGTGACACAGACGGTGAGTAATATTCGGTAACAGAGCTGAGAGAGTGCATGCACTGACATGGTAGGTGACACAGACAGTGGTGTATTCAGTAACGGAGCTGAGAGCGTACGCACTGACATGGTAGGTGACACAGTGACGTGGTGTATTCAGCAAACAGAGCTGAATAGAACATGTACTGACATGGTAGGTGACACGAAGACAGTGGTGTATTTAGTAACAGAACGAGAGTGCATGCACTGACATGAGTAGAGTGACACACAGACAGTGGTGTATTCAGTAACAGAGATGAGAGTGCATGCACTGACAGAAGAGT